GTAGCAAAATTTTAATCCAAAATCTCTCTATTTCAATTTAATTTCAATTATAAATACATACAGTCAATTTAATCAATATATTTTACGTATTTTAACATATGTCAATATTTTATCGATGTATACTAACGGTAAAGGTATGTTAATATAAAATTCTCATAATTTATTATCTAATTTAACCTTATAATACAAGTGCCGTAAAGAAACGGCTGATAGTGCAATTAAAACGTCATGATTTCACGTTAATTAATATGGAATTCCGAGAATAATTTCACTGTTTACTTTCTAAAATTGGTTTATTACAACTTTAAAGTCTAAATCACTGACGAAATAACGCATAAATGAGTTTTTTTTATCAAAAATGTTTACATTTTGAAATTTATTTTTTCTATCATAGGATTGTCTATAATTATATGCAAAATTAACTGATGACAAATTTATAAAACCCCTTTATAAATATGTAATATCATAAGTATGTAAATAGATTGCTGTATATTAAATATAATAAAGAAATATCACTTCCAGTCACTATCAACTACAAAGTGAAAGAATTTCGAAGGTTGCAGATTTGAATCCCGATTACATCAATAAATTTATATTTAAACTAGATTTCGGAATTAGTAATATATGTAGAGCTGACCGGGCGATATATAGTCCACAGTATCGAACAGAATTAAATATCCTATGTTCATCTCCTGGTTCTAAGCTATCTCTCCCCTCTAATTTTCAACTATATCTTTACAGCCGTTCTTGAGTTATAAATAGTGTAACTAACAAAACTTTTTTATATATATGGATCTATACAGGGTGACTGGTGAATTACTATCAATATTTAAGGAGCATACTCGGGATTCTCATTATATCATAGGTACATTACAAATTTTATAAAAAAAAGCTTAATTTCCGATATTGATACAACAACTCCGCCGCCGCGTTGTGTGAGTGTGTGTGTATATATCTGTAGGGTTTGCGTAATTAATTACATAACTTTTGGTTAACTTTACTAAGAAGTTTATTACTATGGATGTTATTCGTAACAAATATAGCCAACTAATTTTAAAGCATAATTATGTTAACAAGGTAAATGTCAGAAAACCAGTCCTTGGTATTGATAAAAATTCAACAGAACTCAATATTATTCACACACCTATGTATAAACTGACACCATTTATATACAAATAGTATATTCTTTAAATTCCTTGAGAATTACATTTTAAAACAAATTTTTCTTCAACTTAACTATACAACCTGATATAACTATGTATAACAAATTTTATTTAATGTATTATAATATATATAAAAAAAAGTATTGGATTTATTATGAGAATCTATCATACATTTTAAACATAATTATTTAATTATTGAAATAATGATACCATTAAAAAAAAAATACAAAAACAAAATACACGACCACACAGCCACACCTCATGATTTTTGTGTACATTAAAAGAAGTCAATACTTCTACTATTCAATATTCAATACTTCTAATATTCATTATTCCATAATAAAATTTAAAAAATCATTGACAGTAGGTTCCTATGTGCAAGACTGGTAATCAGTTTTAAGCTGAGCTCATTGTGTTTTCAATAGCATGTATAATGTATATTGCTGTTATATTACATGTGTGTGTGTGTGTATGTGTGTTAGATATAGACCTTGTCTAGTGAATTTCAAATATGTATGCAACCTTAATAAAGTTATATTGTTTTTTAGAAGAGAAAGATCAAGATTTACAGAGACATTTATATTTTGTGTATCATGATCACTATTACTCTAAATTACTCAAAACATGACTAAATATAAATTGTAATAAAATCTTTAAGTAAATTGAATAAATTGTTTGATTTAAAAGGGCTCGCAAATCTTAGATATATAATCTAAGATTTAGTAAATAGATGTTAATTTATTTTAAGTTGAATTTGTAAGATCTAAAAATATCTTCATTCGACCATCTATAGTTCTATATATCTAACTATCTACATATCTACATCTATCTTGGAATGTGTAGAAAAGACTTGGAAACTTATTATGCTACTGACAATTGAAGCTAATTACATTTCAAACAGAACCTACATTGCATCAAGTGATTCACACATTCTTATGTATACTAGCAAGCAATGATTTTGAGATTTCTATTTCTGTTGAAAGATTATGCAGTTTGTAAATGATGATAATGAATTAAATTTATCAACTTCAAATGTATGATAAATTTCATTCTCATAATAAAGAGAATAGAATCATGAAATGTGGTATATTTTTGTTTCAAACAGCATTAAGCAGTGTATCAAAATGTATAAATAAAGCACCTATACAATTTTTTCGTTTTTAATGAAAAATTTCTTTTTAACAAAACTTTATTTACATTTCATGATTTCATTAAAATGAATTATTTATTAATATGCCCAATATGAGAGATTTCATTTCATTTAAAAAATAAATAAAATATAAAACATGCACGAAACTTTTACTATACTTTTACATAGTTTAGGTTATTTTTAAATAACATGAATTGTAAAGAAAACATACTTAAACACATTATAATAACTTAAGAGCAAGTTTCTAAAGTAGAATAAAACTAAGATGTAAATAAATTTTTATTCTTCTAACACAAAATTTTATGTAGGTAAATTATAATTGAACAATATTCATTTGTTGTCACTGTTCTACTTATTGAGACTTGCGCTTACGTACAACAAAATGATAAATATAATATTACAACGTATATGTTTCTGATTCTTTTATTACTTCAATATAATATTAAAACCAAAATAATTCCTTTCTACTCACTTGTTAATACACTATAAAATGCGGCCTTGTTTTGAACTTCGAACAGGATATAAGTTTTAAATTACTCACTTATTGAAAACTGATATCTTTATTATCCAACTACCATGAATTTTTTTGAAAATTTATATTAATTTAAATTTAAAAGGGAGATTTAACACAATTTCACTCACATAAAAAAATCTGCTTTTAAAAGTTCGAATCGCGCACCTTCACACCAAACAAATAACACTTGACATCTAAGTTAGAGTTTATACTGATGTATGACGTACACATTGTGACCATAGACAATCTTTGGAATTTCGAGGTATGCAAATATTACGCGAAAGCAATATGTCAACAGCTTTAAATAAAACTAATATTTTTCAGATTTTACTGTGTGTATTTTATTTTATTATGTAATTTTTACAATAGTAAAATATTAGTTTTATTTAAATGAATACTCGTGAAAGTCTGAGATCTCATTGTTAACAGGCTTTTTCTTATATTTCATGATATGTAATAAAAAACTACTAGTAAAACAAATACAAACAAACAAACAAATAATGTACAATCATCAGATTTTTATATTAATAGCTCACTTTGAGTCGAAGCATCTTAATTATTTGCATCGTTCATCTGTATGTAAGGTGTTGATTTCCAAAATCTTTTTCTGTGAGCCAAAGCCATTGACACCAACAGGTGTAATCTGATCTGTTAAGTTTAAAAGAGAGAAGAAGGATTGAGTGTTGGTGTGTGCACAGAACTTAAGTCTCTACGATAGGGCTGCACTTTTTACAATGCTTTACCTTTTGCGACGGATTCTCTGTTATTTTATAAGCAAACTAGAAGACCCGGAGAACTTCGTATCGCCCTATAATCAAGAAATTTCTGTTATGTTTTTTTATTTATATTTTTGGAGTTTACCTATTAAAGCCATAAATCTCCGTGTTTTGAAGTGCGACAGAATGATTGACATATTAGTTAGTTGTCAAATCTAATGTCAAAAAATAACGTTTTTATCAACAACTACTAATAAATTAAAAATAAGGTAAAAAAACATTGTTCAGCGGACAAAATTGTGAATCTAAACAATTCCCAGATCCCCTTGAACACACACAAAAAATTTAATAAAAATCGGTTCAGTCGTTTGAGAGAAGTTCAGTGATATACACACGCACAGAAGAATTATATATATAAAGAATTATTACGTACATTATACTTTCAAATTTAGAATTAAATCACTTGATTATTTATTATTTACTGGAAGACCTGGCGAACTTCGTATCGCCCTATAATCAAGAAATATCTATTACGTTTTTTTATTTATATTTTTGGAGTTTACCTGTAAGCGATAAATCTGCGTGTTTTGAAGTGCGACAGAATGATTGACATATTAGTTGTCAAATCTAATGTAAAAAAAACGATTGTATGGGAAATAGAAAAGGGCTGTTTTTATGGTTTTCCAAGTAGTGAATCAATTTTTTTTCAGCTTTTATACCTTCCCTGAACCTCCACGAACATTTCAAAACTAAGATAAGATAAATTCGTTCAGCCGTTCTCGAGTTTTAGCGAGACTAAGGAACAGCAATCCATTTTTATATATATAGATGTGTTCATTTAAAACTGAACCTTTTTAAACAACAAACAATAATAAATTTCACTATTAAAGGAAACTGGGTTGTGTATTTTATGCTTATACAATACTTCGTTTAAGAAACGCGATTTTCAAAAATGTGAAACTGTATTTTTAACATAAGTATAATATTTGTATTGGAAATCAATAAGAGGAAAGGCAAATTTATAACACTATTTTTATTTATTCTTAAATCATTTTATGGAAGCCCCTGAATACAGAATATATAATTTAAGCTGTAAAAAAAAACTCTTACTTCACATCATTTATGGAACAATGCCATGCAAAGTGTAAATAGACATTATACAATTTCAAGTTAATACCTCAGTTTCTTTACATTATTTAATTCTGAGTCTTCATGTACATAGAAATGTTAATAGTATTTGCTTTCAGATTTAGTATTCCATATTGTTATATGATAAGATGTGTGTGGCATCTATATTTAGACAACTTCAATACAACTATTAACAACCAAATCTATCACTTTTCACATAAATAATTTTATAGACAATACCTATATTAATTGATTTTAATAACTTTGTTCATTCAACAGCTACATATGTTGTTCTATTACATATATAACTTTTGCTAAACTTAACTATATTATTTCTTAACAGGTCGAGCTCCAAATATAGTGCTGCCCACTCTCACAGTGGTAGCACCCAATGCAATCTGAAAAACAAATTACATTTATATTAGACTAACATTTTCAAATTACTTTGCGTATTTTATTATTTATAAAAACTACATACTCCCCTTTTGGTTACTTTGAAAAAACCATGATTGGCGACAAGATAGTCACAACAAGAAGGTCTTAGATAAAATTACATTTATATTTATAAAATTTCATAATGTTTGGAATATAAAAAAATACTTACAGCATGTTCATAGTCAGATGACATTCCCATAGACAATTCAACATCTTTTATATCCAAGCCCAATTTCTCACACACTTCTTTTCTGCAAGATGCCAACGTAAGGAAGTCTGGGTTTGGACCTTGGCTTACATCATAATCATATTGACCGATTGTCATTAAGCCTTTAAAATCCAGATTTTCACAGTTTTTGATCACATGCTCCACTAAAGTAACAGCTTGAGATGGTTCAACACCATTTTTTACTGGAAAAATATAAATTATTGTTCAAATATTGTTATCAATACATATATTAGTCTTGTTAATTATTATATATGGATTTTCAGGATTAATTTAATATATATTACCATCTTCTCCACTAGTGTTGACTTGGACCATTACTTTTAATTTTTCATCAGATTTCATATATTTCGGCCATTGCTTGTTTAAATTATCAGCCAATTTCTCTGAATGGACAGTTTCCACCATATACAGTCCCGGAGACCCAAGTAATTTGTTGATTTTGTTTGTTTGCAAATGGCCTATGAAATGCCAATGTATGTCTTTACATTTTTGTAGTATATCCGGATCGCTTGCTTTATCTGCAAGTTCGTTAACATAGTTTTCACCAAAATGATGTTGGCCAGCCTCATATGCTTGAATGATTAGTGATGCTGGTTTGATCTTTGATACTGCGACTAGTCTTGGAGAGATTTGAGGAAGATCCTTAAAGATTGTTAGTATTATAAAACTTGCATAAATATTATTAGTAATTAAAAGGCACGGACATTTAAAACAAATTGCGGTTTAATAATATGTATATGTGGTCTAGTGTTATTATAACTATATGGAATCCATTTTTAAAAAAAAATTTAAAAACATATGTTTTCTACATAAGAATACCATTGAAAATCAGTTTTACTTTTTAATTTTTAAGTTATAATCGACTTACTTTATTTCTTCTCGCAACTGCAGCTTCTATTTGAGCCAAAACTGTTTTTAGGCCGTGCATAACGTCTACTTCTTCAGTTTTATCATTAGACATAATTCGCCTATCCTATATTGTTCTTTTGAACCAGATTTTTCAAAGTGGTTAACCTACACTAATTGCTAATTAAGTTAAAAGCTTTTTTATTACGGCGTTATTAAATTCCTTATCACTTATCACTAAAGTCAAAAGCATAAATGAAAATGCCAATCTGACAAATGACGATAGAATGATAGGTTTCATTTCATATATACAAGATATGTAATATTAAATATTATAAATATTACTATTTCAATTTAAAGATATAATTTCTATGAATATATTTTAAATAGTTTGAATAAAACTTTGTATAAATTTGATTGTATAGGCTTCGAACCGTATTTTCATAGTGTATTTTTTTTATAAAGGCATCACTGGGGAAAATGTCAACAATAAGGATTGATTTCGATTGATTTTTCTGTTTGTTTGTTGCGTTTTCGTTGCGGAAAATAAGCGTTTAACAAATAAATACACAATTATGTCCTCAGCCTGTGGTTGATACACATGTAATCATGAATGTGTTAGAAAAAGCCGAAAAGGCTTTGGAATATTTAAAACACAATGAAGGAATTGCGAAGTATACAAAGTTTTTGAAGTTAGATATTAGTGTGAATGTTTCTTTTGTAATTTCAAGTTTATTTTCAGAGGTCATGAGCTTCAAACGGCAGCAGGGACCCTCGGCCGTTGTTTAGGAGCCCTAGGAAGTCGGCAAAATTGCGCTAGACACTACGCTAATTTGTTACATACAGCCGTGCCTACCCTTCTTACTTTAGCTAGTAATGAAAGTGTAAGTTTTTTAAACTGAATATATTTTTATATTACTGCGCGGGTTTTTAAGAATGTATATTTACCTGTAGTACAAAATGCATCATTATTCAAACAATATTATCTATATTTTTTTATGTGCTATAAGCTGTTACTCACTAATAAAGCAAGCTTGGCCTTGGAATTGATATTTAAAATGTATATTTGCAAACATGTTTCATAAAATATATGTCTGATTTTAAAGTTAGGAAAATAATTTTTAAATATTCTATCATTATATTATTTTTGTATTCTAGGCTGAAGTCAGATTATTGGGAGACGAAGCTCTGAACAGAGCTGTGGCTGGTGGTTTTGCTTTTCATTCTTATAAAACAAATATTATACTGCAAAATCAAATTGATGCTACAAAAAATGCACGGTAAGCAATCCCTACTAATCCCTACTAATATATTATAAATGTGAAAGTAACTCTGTCTGTCTGTTACGCTTTCACGCCTAAACCACTGTACTGATTTTAATGAAATTTGGTACAGACATAGAGTTGACCTTGAGAAAGAACACAGGATATTTTAATACCAGATTTTTGAAAAGTTCTCTTGGAAATGTGATATAACCAAACTCCATGCGGGCGAAGCTGCGGGCGGAAAGCTAGTATAGTACATAATATTGTGATGGACCTAGCACCCACACGGTGAATTCATTGAATGCTAAGAGATTTAGTTTCGATATGTCGAATTAACCTTCTAATCAAGTTATATATTATATGTAATGTCATTAAAAGAGAATTTCCATAATACACCTTCATGCTAATTATCTTTCTGTTAAAAAATTGTTTTTGTTAATTAAAAGCAAATCTAAAATTCATTAATGGAAATTTAAAGTTTAAATATTTATTCACAAGAATACTTTTTTTAGTATATCAAATTTTTTGCTCATATTAACTTATTAACTCTTTGTAATAAATATTATAGAAAAATATATTCATATGTAAAGTTCATAATTTCATTAAGTATTGTAATATATTAAATGTAACAGGCACTTCAATGTTGCGACAAATCTTCCAAGATTAAATATAAAATAGAAGTACATTATGATATGTAAAAATAAATAAATTATTAATTCCCTTCAATGAGATCTTAATTATGTATATAGAAACTAAAGTAGTTACATATGTATGTATGTATGTTTATTACTCTTTCATACAAAAACTATTAAATAAAATTTAATGAGACTTTACAATAATATAGCTTACATATAGGCCATAGTGTATCCCTAAATTCATTGCAATTCAGTGATAAAAAGCCATAACACCAAATATATTGCTAACTGTTTGTTAACCATATCTATCATTTTAACATGCTATAAATTTCTTTCTGATGGCAACTAGATATTCAGAAGAAGTCGCGCTCTAAACTATTTTATAATTATATACTAGTTATTAATTCCTACTTTATCTAAACAGACTTTAGAATTAGACTCAGAGCAAAATATGTTATGTTAAAACAATAGATGTGGTTATCAAGAAGCTGCTACATCCATAATTATAATGCGTTTGGGTCTTCATACTTAGATAGTAAAACTGTCCGTATTTATGCAAAATGGAACCACTCGACAAAATTTATTTTTTTACTTTTTTTAAGAATACTTACGTAAAGGTAGTCTAAATTCTTATACAAAAAAGAATCACATGAATTCCCCTTGGAAACAAGGTATATTAAAAGCAGAAAGGAACCAACAACAATAACAAACGTTACTTGTAAAGCAAAAAGGAACCACGGTACAACATGACTCTATTTATCAAAAAAGTAAACGAAATTACAATCATGTAGTTTTATACAAAATAGATCCACGCACACTTGGTACTATTATACATTACACATAATTCTATTATTACGATTATTTTTTTTACACAAAATAGAACCAAATTCCTGTGGTATCCTTATGCGTAAAATAAATTCTTATTATTTAGTTGTTAATATTGTTTTGCAAAAAGAAACCACAAGCATTCGGTTCTATTACGTATAAATAAATATTGTTAAACAGTAGAACCACTAGCATGTGATTCCATTACGCTTATTGTTTTGAAATTTATAATCGTTCATAAGTGCAAAAATTACATGATTGATTTCAAGTTTCTCGTTTTAAACAACGAAATACTTACCTTATTTTATTGAACGTATAACTCAAAGTGCAATAACTCAGTTTCCAAGTAAAACGTCAAACGTTATTTGTCAAAATAGGTGACATTCAACGAAATAGTTCAAATGCGTGACGACCGTTTTTTTTCTCTGCAAAGAAAGTTCTGTTGTTTTTGTTTATTTCTTTCGAATAAAGTGTGAAAATGTTAAGTAGAGGCAAGCTGTTGGTGAATAAAGCTTTAGACATGAGTACCGAAGATAATAATGAAGACATAACAGGTAAATAGTTTTGTTTAATGCATTTTAGTATCTTCGAGCTCACTCGAATGCACCGTATGAATTGCAGCGTTGTATCGTGTGCTGGTGTATGATGTGATGATTGTAACGATGTATGTTTGCATGTAATATGAAATATATATATGTACATTTCTATGTAATGATGTGTGTGTGTGTGTGTGCGTGTGCGTGCGTGTGTGTGTGTGTGTGGGTGTGTCCGTCTGTATGTTTTACTACTTAATGAATTACCATAAAGCCGCGTTCACACTACCCATAAGAACCAATATAATTTTGCTGTGGCCATAGATTTCTAGAACCACGCGTTATTATTGTAAAGACATAAAAGTTTCTTTGATTACAGCACAAGGTAATGAAGAACCTAGTAGGGCACAGCCTCTGGAGAAGCTTTCTTCACCTCTAAGCAATAATTTAACTTCGCCAGATCGCTTAGAAGAATATTCCTCGCCGATATTAGACCTACTTGCAAATTTGTCCCCTTTTAAAAGTCCTGACTATATATCAGGTTCATCAGAATATGGTGATGATATAATAGTTGCTGGCGGCAAGAAAATGAGGTTGCCTAATGGGAAGTCTAGGCGCACTATCATAGAAGAGTCTACTTCTGAAGGCGAAAATACTGCTAAATCACCAGTGTTTATACCATGTTCTGATGACGATACAGTGAGTATTAATGACAAAGTACCTAAAAAAGGAAGACCAAAGAAAGGTCGAAAATTAAAGTATGGTGGTCTATCTAGGATGGAAAGAAAGAAAAATAGACATTCTAATAAGCCTTTTCACAACTATAAAAACATCGAAGTCCAACCAAAAGTATTTATTGATTATAAATGTAATTGTAAAACGAAGTGCTGGGAAAAAATAGATTCAAACAATCGACAGAAAATATTTGAGACCTTTTACAAACTCGAAAATTACAATACTCCGAATATGTACATCGCAGCAAGCGTCAAAGAAGCCGACGTTAAAAGAAGGATGACTAATAGCAATATGAAGAAAAAATTCTCTCGTAAATATCTATTAGATAAAGTCGAAGTATGCCGGAACTTATATGTCAAAACACTAGGTGTTTCAACAAAGAGAGTTAATACTGCTTTGGCTAAATTGAGGTCACAAGATTGTTTAGATAGAAGAGGATCAAAAAGTGGAGGTTGGAACAAATGCAGCGACGAATTAGTTTCCCAAGTAATATGTCATATAAACTCTCTTCCTAAGTATAAATCACACTATAGAAGAAGTGAGTGCGAGACCGAATATCTTAAGTCAGACTTGACTTTAGACAAGATGTACGATTTATACTGTGAACATGTAGGAGAAGCTGAGAAGGTTAGTAAGGCTATGTACACAAAGTTATTCTACACTAATTTTAATCTTAAACGAGCGCCTCTTAAAAAAGACACTTGTAACAAGTGTGACACATTACAAGCGAAATTAACTCATTGCAAAACTACTGAAGAAAAAACAGCCATCGATACAGAACGCGAAGAACATTGCCGAAAATGGGAACAGGCGCGGCATGTAATGAAGACTGATTTTATTCTGGCTACTCAATGTAAGGAATTAGAATGTCTCACATTTGATTTACAAAAAACCCTTCCAATGCCTAAGATACCTACTGGAATTATTTACTATAAACGACAGCTTTGGCTGTATAATATGGGTATTTATTCGGCAAAAACCAACTCAAGTGGGTGTTTTGTTTGGATAGAAGGAATGGCTGGAAAAGGTGCTCAGGAAGTCGGTTCCTGTCTTTTAAAATACTTAGGCGAGCATATTTCTGAAGATGTCGAGGAACTAATTTTATGGAGCGATTCGTGTGGCGGACAAAATCGTAATATAAAGTTAATTTTGATGTTAAAAGCATTTTTGCATTGTCATCCCACTTTGAAAAAAATAACACAAAAGTTTTTGATTCCCGGACATAGTTACCTACCCAATGACAGAGATTTTTCCCACATTGAATCTGCAATAAAAAAGTATCCGAGACTATACACTCCCGATGATTATATACAAGTTATTAAAGATTGCAAGAAAAAAAACCCTCTTAAAGTTACATTAATGGCAAAATCAGATTTTCTGGGAACTTCTAAGGTTGAAAAAATGATTATTAATAGAAAACGTGGTATTAACAAAGAATGTATTAATTGGCTACAAACTCGAGAAATATACATAGAAAGAGATTCACCAAACTCAATTTATTTTAAAACAGACTTCTTTGGTAATTCTGTGGAAGTCAATGTAGGTAGAGCACCTGTTCGGGGCAGACCGGGTTTAATCTTAATGGAACATTTAGTTCCCTTGTGGCCGTCAGGGAAACCAGTATCACCCGCAAAACTTGCCGATATACAATCCATATTACATCTCATTCCACAAGATGCACAGAGTTTTTATCATGGTCTCAACTGTGATAATACTATAGAAGACGACATAGATGGACTAGACACGGTGGATTTCGAAATCCAATTTGATGATAACGTCGAATAACATGCATTTTTGATTAATTAAAGCTTTATCCTGATACTAAAAACCTACAGTTTCATTTATATCAACAAATCCCTAGATTGTGGTTCTTTTTTGTATATGAGAAAACCTATTAATTACTAAATGTTTAAAGGAACCACATGCACTTTTTTTTAATTTTTTAGAAGGTTAAACAGTTATCAACAAAAAATTATATGCACATACTTAAATAAGTAATTTATCAACATATTTAAATAAAAGAAATAGTAATTTTACTTCATCTAACAGTGCTGCACATGTTTTTGTAAAACCTTTGATATCTCAAAAGTGTGTGTTTGCTGCGTGGTTCCATTTTGCATAAATACGGACAACTGTTATGAGTTCGTCTTTCAGTAACTAGTATAGGTTAACACAACTATGTACATTGATTGATATTAATTTTCATGTATAAAAACGTATGATGTAGATCTAAACTATTATAAATAATCAAAACCTTAGGAAATGTTATTAAAAGTATTTATTGGTGGATTGAAGCTATGTATAGTTGGTGCCCTGCAATTCATATTTGTGCTGGTTTCGTAAAGTATCCTTTTGTCGTCTGATTTGACCGATGTTTGATTTTCTCTTCTTGGATATTATTGTATGCATCGGTCTCTTGTCCGGTTATAGACTAAGTCGATTCTGAGCGCTTTAGACTTATCCATTCGGTTGGTACATAAGTTACCCCAACCTAGAAAAGTATGATTTAGGAAGTTAATTTGCTTCCAATGAAAACGCCAGTCATTGTTGGGTTGAAGTGAAAGATTTTTGTTGGCTGGATGGAGGCCTTTCGATCATCCATGCTAGTGACATACAAACTTCGACCAAGCGCTAAACCCCTTTCCACAAAGATTACAGTTCTTTCTTCCGAACGTCTATCATGTCAAAAAGTATGAAAGAAAGAAAAATAAATAGATTAATGCAGTGATATCCTTCTCCACTTTTAACATAAACTTCTGCAATATAAGATTCTTACATAAACACTTCCCCCCTCAATGCCTTTATGCTGTGGCCCATCAAGGTTACGTACTGTTATACCATAGGAATGTAAGGGTTAATGCCTAAATGCGGCCTTGCAATAGACAAGTCAGCATTTTATCATTAGAGCATTAGTTAGAAGCCCTTTGAATAGTCCATATTCATTTAGTTTGAAGAAATGAGCGGTTGTCCTAAGATAAGTAAATAAATAATAAATTTCTATTTTAAAAAGTGATTTTCATTCCACGGGCTTACAGTGTAGGATATAGAATGTTATTTTGCTAGCTGGAGTAGGTATATTTGTATGTTACTATCAATTTCTGACAATTTTGCAAAAAAGAAACATCGACTCCTTGGTCGCGTGTAGATTATAGTAAATAGACACGTATATATGAGTTTTTATATTGTCCAAATGTTGGAGTTGACCTTTTGTTTGGATACATTCAGGAGGGTATAGATTTTCAACCCACAAAACATATAGCTCAAGAACGATTAATTTAAAAAGAGAATCATCTTGACTTTATGTGATTCTGTACTTTAATGCTAATTATTATATTAAGCGACTTCCCGTTCGTTAAATTCGAAATTAAATTTAAATATTAAGAAAAACTGTCTCCATAATATAAAAGACAAATCCATCATCTGGTAGCGTCATCTATTCTTTATCATGTGATTTAAAGAATTATATAACTATTTCTACTCACGAGAATGGCAATTATGTTTTAATTTTCTTTAAAATTTATTATTGTAAAGTTTCATTAACATCGATTAAATAATTATTTTATAAGAGCAACAAAAATGCAAGCATTAAAAAAAAAAGAAACAGCCTCTACAATAACAGTTTATTATACACAGATGGATAAAAGCTGCATTATCTCGTATTTGTCTTGGCGATTGTTGGCTTCGACCGGGTATTGGGAAAATTCGGTCTCAAGCACAGACGTTATTCCCAAAACTCACACAAATAGTACGAACAGGGGAAGTTAACCTTATTGTCGAAGCCTTAGAGCACAATCTTCCAAGGATACTGAAGGCCTTAGCGGAGTATACTACTGATGAAGAAATCTTTGGTATGTATTTTTATGTTGATAGATCCATAATGAACAAGATTTAAATATAATAAAATTAGATGTTTGTATTTAATTATACCAAAACGTTATATTTGTCTATAATAATTAATTCATACTTCAAATTATTTATCTTTATATATTTACTGTAAAACATACTTTATCATACACAAATTAATTCTTTTTTAATATATAAAAAATAACAAATAATAAAATAGACATATGTATTATTCAAAATTTTCAGTCAAAACATTCAATCATAAATAAAATAATTATTTCATTTATGTGTTGTTTTCTTTTATTTTCCAGATTTATCCAAAGCTCTACTTTCCCACATTGAGAATGTTGAACCGGCCGTGAGACGCGGCATATCAAACTGTGTAGCGAATTTGTGTTCACATAGAGAATTACTGATTACAAATGTACTTGCTATGATGTATGGTAAGTACTATTATTTATATTTAGTATCAACAAAGATATTAATTAATATTTATAACATACAAGATGTAAATTTTCATTAAATTCTTATTAATTAAAATAAATTACTGATTAATATTGAAATACATATGCTTTAAATACATACTTTAATTTATTTCTTTAAATACTAAAACATGACGTCATTGCTCATTTTGTGTACAAAGATTTTATTTATAGAATTATAACAATGTACAGAATACTAACTTTAATACTATTTCCTATAAGTTTATTAAAAATCAGAACTTACATATAAATTATTATTACAATTTATTGAACATATCTTTCTAGTGTTTGAAGTTTGTTGATAAAAATAAGGAAGGTTTTTTTTTAATATTTTGTTTAATACAACTTGTTCAAACAATTTAATTATTTCTCGATCAATACAATCTATAGAAATGAATTTACATATGTACATAAATTTCATTTTCATACAAGTAAAGTCACAAAAAATGTTATTTACTAGAAGGCAGCATTATATAAATTTTACTTGGAATTCAATAATATTGTCTATAATACATTTTTTTCTAATTATATATTTGTATTATTACAGAAAGGTTGTGGCCGCTAACACAGAATGGTAGTGTGGTCATCGGATGGTTTTGCGTCATCAAAGCCATATTCCAGATAAATGACGTCGATAAATTTAAAGAAAACGATTTATTTGGTGTCCAGGACTATTTAGAGGTAATCTTAAATTATACTTAGACTAAACGATTTTGTAACTTATTTAAATATGTACTAATTTGACATATATTGGCATGTCTGAGCTTATATTGCCGTTATAAACAATTGATTTAATACCTTATTTGTAAAGAGATAAGTGTTATTTTTAATTATTACATACATCACATAGTCTATACATTTGTACGTAAAATGATTTTTAGCATTTTTTTCTGGTACAGGTTAATTAATTTTATGCTTAATGTATATTAAAATAAGTTTTATTTTACAATGTTAACATTTTAATTTCAGTTATATCAACTAATAATAAACTATATCGAAGTATCAACTGAACATAACACCCAGAACACACTATTGGAATGCTTGTCTGTACTTTTGACTCAAGCTAAAGATGAATATAGGATTGCTTTGTTAGAAAAACATCCGCGTGCCATCTGTCTAGACGATAGACAGAGTGTTAAAGGACATAAGAGGAATATGAGTGAGTTATTCATTACATTAAATTATAAGATAAAATCCCAATATCTCAGGATATGTGTTCAAGTGTATAATAACGATTGAAAGACTTTTGTTATATCTTATATTTTTAAAACTATGTTATAGCTTCTAATTTTTTTATAAAGAGTGAATATCATTGAAATTATAATAAACTAGCTTGCCGCCTGCAGCTTCGCCCGCGAGGAGATCGGTTATATCGCGTTTCCAAGAGAACCTTTCAAGTCTGGGATAAAAACTATCCTATGTTCTTTCTCAAGGTCAACTCTGTGTCTGTACCAAATTTCATTGAAATCAGTTCAGTGGCTTAGGCGTGAAAGCGTAACAGACAGAGTTACTTTCGCATTTATAATATTAGTAGGGATTGTGTAACACTTTCAAATCCTATGGGTGTGATTATTTTTCATTTAATTGATTTTTCATATATATATGTACATAATTTTTTTTCAGGTTATTCAAGTGCTATATCATCAGTTACTATACCGAGTATGGTGTTAGAGGGACGCGAGTCTGAAATATGTTTCACCGGAGCCCTTCAGTTAGGAAGTGTTATGAGAATTGATGAACTAGCGGCCAGTACTGATGATCTGCCCATACAGGTTATACAAGTATATATATATAGAAGAAAGTCGTGTTGGCTACACTATTTATAACTCAAAATCAAGACCACCTTTACAGGTTACACTGAAAATTGGTGGAGAAATAGCTTAGAAAAATTACTAATAATATGATTTTTTCATATTAATTTAAAAAAAAAAATACCACCCAAAATCTTATTTACTATCTTTAAGAAGGAATAGAGTTCTAGAGACTAATTTTGAAAGTAACCCAGACGATGTTGCGGGCTAAACTAGTATACATATAATTCTATTTTACTTAACCTTTACACATGGTCAATATATTGAAATTAACAGCATATTTTATACTTTTATAAAATTTACCCCCTTTTGGTAAAATTTACTAGTAAATAGAATTGTAATAGTATTATATGTATGAATAATATTCTCCACAGACACCAGATTCTCCAGTCAGTGAATCCGACCTAGAAGTATCTGATACGGAGCAGCTGTCACGAGAAGTTTCCGAGAAGTTGAAGGATTATGAGGAATACGGAGAAGATATCCGTGATAGTGGGATTAAGGTGATTGAAAACTTTTATTCTATATCCTTTTTTATCTTTTAAAGCCAAAATGCGTTAGTTACATTTATTAAAATAACCAAACCAAAGTTAGATACATTTATTAAAATAACCAAAAATGGTTTAAAATGAGAAATATAAATATTTAAAAATGTATTAGAATAGTGAGATAAGACTTTAGCGAGTGATCATTTAAATGAAATTAATATTATCGTATTGCTACGCAGTTATAATTATGTTGAACTACATACTCCCGACGTTTAAGTTATTTTAAAGCAACCGTGATCATAAAGACGAGATAAGAATGTCTGTCAGTAAGCAAAGTAACTGCAGCATACTCGTAAAAAGTACATATGACTCGAAAAATCGATTTTTTTTTTTATGGGAAAAGGGGGCAACCGAGCAGACGGCCTACTTGATGGTAGGTAGTGACCGTCGCCCATTGACATCTGCAAAGTAGATATGCAGATGTATTGCCGTCCTTGTTTGGGGAAAATGGGGAGTAAAAGGTGGGAAAGGGAGGGAAAGGAAAGGGTGGGAAAAGGGAAAGGGCAACCGGCTCTCTCACTCACCGGACGAAACGCAGCCATTAAAGACTACTTCACGCCGATTTTCTGTGAGAGGGTGGTACTTCCCCGGTCGAGCCAGCCCATGTTTGAGCTGTAGTAACTTGACCACAGCTAGGCTCTACCACCTAACTAATTAGTTCTTGCCAGGATTCTAACCCGTACCCTCATGCATGAGAGGCGGGTCTTTAACCTATAGGCCATCACGACCTTTATATATATCGGATTTAATAAAAATTCGTTGTTTTTAAAGAGGGACTCCAGCCTCGCTGACGTCACTAAATTCATTTCTTCCAGTATGTTCCATGTTATTTTAAAATGAAACTTCAATTGTTCTAAATGTTCTTGTTTTTCTCGAAGGTTCTTCATAATCACATTATTCAATGCTCCACACTCACTGAACTCTGCTATCGTGCTCCAAACGTCATATTTATACCAAAATGCAAACATAGTTCTATTCTCCTTTTAAACAACCTTTGAATTCTTTATACTTTTAACAATGATTATGGAATACCAATATTTTTTTATAATAATTGACGACAGCCTCAAGTTATATTCACGTCGCACCGTCATTAATGCTGAGAGCGACGATATATATAATATCATTTAATGATTTTTTATTTACAGATAAACATTGGTTCATCGTGTGAGGATGACGTCCGACTGAGATACTGTTCACGTCTTCTGGCGTCAAAGTTCCTTCTCACTGGGAATAAAGGAGATTTCATATCTGACAGGTTTTATTATATTTTCTATACACTTATCATCAATGCCTGTAAAAAATTTAGCTTTATTGGTTGTATTAGCGTATTTACCTTATGAATTGTTGTGCTAGTCATTGTCAGCAGAATTCTTGTGGATAATAATCTATGGTTTTGTGCTCAGAGAGAAAGTAATTATGTGTTCTTAATTTCAAATAAATGCAAGCTAACACTTAGCGAAATAAGGATTGTGTAATGTAATTTCTGTATGGAATGATAGGATATATTGTAGCCTATATTTTATTCTGATATGTTATCTAAGTTATTGGACAGTTTCATCAAAAGCGGTTTAACATATTTTTCTTCAAAGAGCCACAAATATTTCTTCATTAGATGAAACTTTCACATTTATAATATTAGTAGGATTTATGTTTATTAGTAATATTAGCTGATAAGGAGTTAATCTTTATATACATTTGTTAAATAAAAACTGTTCTATTTGCGTGTATTAATATCAAAATAAACTGGACATGTAGTTTAGATGTATTCAACACCAATATAAGCTGAGCTCTACATTATATATACATATGTTTAAGTTATGTTATAATTATAATATGTGATTTCAGATTGGTCCGTGTGTCTGTCAAGTCATCGGCCTTATCTTGTTTGTCAGTCATAGCATCACTCTACCCTCAAGCATTAACCTTATATCTGGATAAAGAAGAAGATCTTAGATTTCAGAATTATTCTGGTAATTTACTTTAAAATATACTTGAAATGAAATAAACATTAAATTATAATTCAGTAATACGTATGCCATATATAATACATATATGTGTGAGTTATAAATACAATTTTGTTTCGGTTTTTTTTTTTAAACTAATTTATACTATAGACTTGTGAATATTCACATCTATATAATCTTAATGAGTAGTTGACGTAAAATATATTTGATTATTTGAACCGAAATTCTTAATTAATTATATAGTTATATATAGTAAAATCTATTATGTGAGGTTAATTTTAATATATGTATATGTATGTAGGTACTTCAGAAGGTACGGAGACGAATCCAGATCAAATAAACGAATACATTCTGGAACGTAATGTCTGTTATCAAGACTCCATAACGGAATCGCTCAGTCAAGAACTACTCAACCGTAGTACTGAAAGTCAGATATTCAGAAAGGATAAATCTTCAGATAAATCGTCGGATAAATCTTTGGAAAGTGATATGAAAAGTTCAAAAGACGTACACAGCGCTATACTTGATAGTAAAGCTAACTTGATGGCTAGCTGTTCAGCTGAAAGTACAAATCCTAATATGACGAATAGTAATTTCACGTCGAATTCTAATATGACTGGCAGTATAGACCATATATCAACGGGATATCCAATGTCTAGTAGCGGGGATATACTTTCATCTAGTATAGATTTGGATATGAAATTCGATCATTTCGGTGAATCTATAACAGCCCTAGAAGACGTTGTTCAAGAGAAAACTGTGATAGTTAAAGAAATTGATAAAGAAAAAGTGGATAGAGAATGTTTTAAACATCAACTTTTAGCTGATATATTTTCTTTGGAAAATCACAGTGACCCACAAATTCGTGGTATAGTTAGGTTGTGTATGGGTAATTATTTGTGTGCCGCCATAGAATTGGCTCACGGTGATTATAATAGGTGGAAATGTTACAGTCTACTGCCTAAAGATGTTAGTGAAGATATAAGTGTTGAGAAACTCATGGAAATTATATTAAAGGTCAGTATTTACATAGTTAATAAGCAATAACTTATTATGGAATGATTATAATTTTTTTATTACTGAAAATAGTTTTTTGAGGTATCTTTTTGACGTTGACCACTTATTTAAGTTCTCTCATATATTAGATTCATGTCAAATGATTTCATACAAGTACTTATTACGAAGTATCAATATATTCACTTATCAACGCATTAAATATGATTAGGTGTTTCAATTAGACTGAACATAATGAACATATATTTTTTTTTCCATGTCTCACTTAATAAAATATATTTAATAAACTTAAATAAATTGTCAACATTACAACAATGTTTTGTGTTTGTGTTTTTGTGTTATTTAAGTATTTAAGTTTTTACTTGATAATGGAAATAAATATTTGTACTATAGTACCGCCTTCCAGTGGCTTAATTTGAACTAATAGTTACTTTTTATACAGGGAGTTCAAGATGAGATTCACTCAACAGTTAATCACACTCTATCCGCGTTGGGCCGCCTGTGTAATGTTCTATGTCACAGTGTTCACTGGTCACTCATAACGGACTCACTCAATTCACTCATAACAGCACAGTACAATACATATTGGCTATGTAGAGTGAATCTCGCTAAGTTATATGAGAAGCTGCCATATGAAAGGTGATTATAAATATATAATAAGATTTTTTAAATATCATATACAAAAAAATGTTTTATAATTTAACATAATATATATAACTAAATGTCATGGTGGCCTAGTGCTTAAAAGGTCCGCCTCTCGTGCATGAGGGCGTGGGTTCGATCCTGGCAAGTACCAATGTGATTTTTCCGAGTCATATGTACTTTCTAAGAGTATTTAGAAATCACTGACAGCAAGCGTGGTGATTAATGCTCAAATTTTCTCCATTTGAAAAGACGTCTTTGCTCAACACTGGGCTCTGGTAGGCTGATGATATATATAACTTAATTGTATTTTTCAATATTTCAGACTGTTCACACTGCATCCAGAATATTATTCAAGAATCAAACTGATAATGGATGCTTTGTTTCATCTGTGTGGCGATCAAGATCAGAAAGTAAGGACGGCGGCTGCTCAGGCCATAGCTAAGTATGTCTTATATTGTTAATATACTTAAATACAATGTTATATGATATGAAACTGTTTAAAATAAAGAAAAAAATGCTTATTTCTTAGAGCTGCTCTTAATACACAAGTACATAATGATTCGATTACCAATTAAAATACAGTATTAATGTAAATAAAAATATTTTCTTTATTATTTTTGTAGATAATATAGCTTGTATCGCTTATGTGTCGCTTCTCAAAAGTCTAATTCAATCTCACTTAGCGGTGAAACGAAGTGTCCTAGTAAACGTATAGTTAATATTTTCTCCCACTCGTCACGTGATGGCGCTGCAGCTCGACGACAATAGAATGATATTAGTATTCTTATTTGGACATAATTTTATATAAAACTTAGTTTAGAAGCAAAAATCAAATAAAATATGCTATTTTATAACAGGATAATACCCAAAATCTATCCATCACGTAAATCCACTCCTATATCGGTGATGGCCGAAATATCTAAGCAGCAGAGCAAAATATTCACATTCGACTCAAACAGGCTATCATTGGAGCTCGTACGTGATATATATTTCTATAATGATCTCCCGGAACAGTTGAAAGATGGCGCCACAATCACTAACAGAGACAGTCTGAAAATGTTCTTAGGAGACTTAATGGGAAAACTTATGGCTTCCAATAATAAATATTATACGGTAAGCATTTTGAATAGTAAATATTTTTGATTATTGATTAAATTATTTAAATTTATTTTTATATAAGGAATATGGAATTACAATTTTATTACGAACCTGTATTTTATGAATAATCATTCCAGTATTTATACCAGTTAAGCTATTGTGTTCTGAATCCAATCGTTGAATTACGCAATTATCTATGTATTTAACCTCCATATAAGAACGGTGCTGCCATCTATTAGGTTTAATTAGGAAACTATAAATTTTTTTGCTAACTTCGCAATATGGAAGAAAATTCTTAATCAGCTATTCTAATCATAATAGTTTAAAATTATCTATACTAAGTGTTTTTAGAAAATAATTAAAGTTTGATAAACAGAATAGAAATTACGTCACAATAACATTATCTGCTAATAAGACGTTTCTACTAATGAGCTCTGAGACTCGCGAGTATTCATTTAAATGAATTCGTCTTTCATTATTTTTAACTACATATTCCTGACGTTTCGTTTACTTTTGCAACCATCAACATGGGCAGTTGAAATGACAAATCTTATTGCTTTTATTAAATAATTAGTTTAGTTTCTACTAATATTAATAATATAATATGTATTCTCAGCAAGGTTTAGTAGAAGTTCTTCAAGCTGTTTGCCTTAAATGGTCTCCGTGGAGGCATATAGAGGCGTTTACTGGTCAAGGTATTCTGGACTATTGTGTGGACGATCTAGACTATTGCAATAGCTCAGTGGTTGTAAGGACTATGTTGATGGATATATGCCGTTTGGTTTATCCAGGTAATTGGTAATTAATAAATAATTATTATGTAATTTACATATATATTTTTTGCTATCTGTGATTTAATATGTTATAAACCATAAATAGAAGTAATGTTATTTTTATCCGTGAATATACATTATGAGATTTGTGTAAGTCATCGACTTAATTTTTAGTTTTATCTGTGTGAAATTATTTGTTATTTTATTACATATAATCTTATTTTATAAATAATATTGTTTTTACAATATGCGGATTTGATATGTAAAAGATAAACAAAAGTAAAAAAGTAGAATTCTATAATAATTTTGTTAATAAAAATCTTAATTATCAAGTAATGTGCAATAATGTATATAATTGATTATTTCAGTCGAAATCCACAACGTAATGTGTCATAAAACGGGGAATAGAGACATATTTGAAAGGGACACTCAAGTTAAAGAGAAATGGCAACATTTATATACAGACTTTGAGGGTGCAGAGTATACAAAAATCGATAATAGGGTTGCCAATATAGCAGAAAAGTTTCTTCAAGTGACATTGAAAATGTTAAATGTTTTGGTACATTTAATAGAAGAGGTCAACCCTAATATACATTTGAATAAGAGCGGTATTGCGTTGCCAGGAAGTCCTGTTAGGAGGAAAACTCAAGGTAATGTATGTTTGCGTGTTACAAACACTAAACTCTTATAAAATAATGAATTACGCTATACATTACTAATTTAATATGAGCCTACTCATTTTATTTGGAAGTATTTTCCTTACTTAAAAGAATAATTTTATTACATTATTGTAAAAGTAATATTTCCTCTTAGAATCAATACCAAGAAAGAGTAGTTTGACGGAAGAAGACAAAAAAAAGCGACCTCTACCAGCTACAAGCTTGAAGGCTAACTTCAGTGGGCACTTCTTTAATGAACCGTTTTATATGAGGCTGTATGAGAACTTGAGAGCTACGTACTCTAATCATAAGGTTGGTTTTTGATTGAATATAATTGCTATCAAGCAGTGGCGGCCGGTGGGTAATCGAACCGGTGGGGTACTTTACTAAAATATTAAAATTAGAAAATGCAACAAAACATAACGAGATGTCAATCAGGGCTCAATTCGTCATACATCGGGTGCTCTCGGTAATCTTCGGCCGCTCGTGCGGCGCTCGAGAACCCACTCATTACTCGGTACATTTCTATGAACGATGTTTTGTTTCACGCGTCAGGCGTATTGATGCGTATCTCATACAAGATGTATTAGCCGTCCTCGTGCACTCGCCGAAGCGCACGAGATATTAGTTTAGTAAAGCGTTCAAACTTTTAACTATAATTAGAAATTTAATTTTTTATACGTTTTTGTACGTTTAGAAAATAAATATTAAAATGGTAATTTAAAAATAAAGATGAAGTAGTATTTTGTAATTTTTAAATCTTTTGAATTGGTGGTTCAGCGCACGAGTGCACTTAAGGTACAGCCGCCACTGCTATCAAGTATTATTAATTAAAAAAAATAATAATTTATTCACAATATATGCAATAAAATTGTGTATGAAATGTAAGCTTTATGTTAAGATGTATTTTGAACCGGTTATCTTTTAAACTTAAAAGCTAAAATGAAATAAGCTTAAGAAAATGGTGTACTGTGTTTACGTTAAGCTATAAAATTGTAATTTTTGGCTTTTGTCTAGTACTTTTTAAACTTGTTCTATTACTTTTAAACAATTATATACAATGAAAAGTATATTAATATTAATTATAACATTTCAGATCAATCTAGATCCAAAAAGCAGTATATTTTATGCATTTCTATCAACAACATTGGACTGTTTATCCATTCAACTTGAATTAGCCACTGAGAAAGAATTCGGTCATGTCACAGAAGAAATATTATATTATCTGAAAGTTATAATGCCGTTGTGTCCGTACAAAACAGTTGATTGTATAACACAATTATTGAAATGCCTCTTTGGTACAAATATGATAAACCAGTACAACGATTTCATGAGCATAGCTGATAAAGTTCTAGAAGATTCTACGAGTTTCTATGAGCATGTGATGTTAGTGAGTGTTATAGATGACGATAGAAGTAGCGTCAGTTCGAACTGTAGTCAGATGTTGGAGATTAAGAATACAAGGATGTTGGATGAGAGGAAAATGCTCATGAATTTGGAGAATTTCGCCAAAAACCGCACGGACAGGAAATGGGGTACGAATAAGAAGGAACTGGAGAGATATATAAGACTATTTGAACCTGTTGTTATACAATCTCTAAAGGTTAGTTGTATTTCTGATATATGTTTACAAATTTTTGTTCTTGACCTTGTCTGCATAAAAATAATATTAATTTCAGAGCGATTAATAATGTATGTTTATATAAACACTAGCTTTCCGCCCGCAGCTTCGCCCGCTTGAAGTTCGGTTATATCGCTTTTTTAAGAAAACTTTTCAAAAGACTGGGATAAAAACTATCCTATGTTCTTTCTCAAGTCAACTCCATCTCTGTACCAAATTTCATTAAAATCAGTTCAGTGGTTTAGGCGTGTAAGCGTAACAGACAGACAGACAGAGTTACTTTCGCATTTATAATATTAGTAGGGATATTTTGTTAACTACTAGATAACACCATCTATTATTATCAAACGACTGTCATGAAATGTTCAGGCGTGAAATGCACAGATATTTCATACAAAATCTTACACGGCATTCGGCATGTGTTTGCTATATTGTTGTTGTTACTTTCAATATCGACTCAGTAGTTCTAGCGTTGAACTTTAACAATCACACTCATGTATTAATTCATATACATTTTTTGAAGCATCGGTAAGCAAAGAAAAACATAAATCATTAAATACATTTCTTTATGATTACATAATTCCAAAAAACATAGGTTCAAACTAAAAAATAAGAAGGCAAAGCCGCATATATAATAATAATAATAAATTTCCATATAATAAATATTAATTATCAATTTCCAGGCCTACACGATGCAGAACGACATACCTCTACAATGTTCAGTGTTGAATCTCCTTTGCGCGTTACTATCACTACGTGTGAACTACTGTATGTTGGACAGCGACCAAGTGTTCATAGGATACCTCATGAAACAACTGGATCACATCGAACAGCATGAGATACCGTGAGATATATAGATATAGATGTAGATATACAGGGTGACTGGTGAATTACTATCGATATTTGAGGACGTGATATTTGACGATCATATATGACAAAATAAAAATTAATATAACATAAATATTAATAAACTTCTAAGTAAAGTTAACCAAAAGTTATGTAATTAATTACGCATCGTATGAACACCCTACAGATTAGGTATACACACACACTCACACAGACGCGGCGGCGGCGTAGTGTTGTATCAGCACGCCGCCGCACGCGTCCACACTTGGAACACTTGGAACGTGTACACACTTTATTTATTTATACGGTAATTTGGTCAAAAATTAAGTACCTATTTTTTTTACATAATTCGAATGAGAATCGTGTACCGAGTATGCTCCTTAAATATTGATAGTAATTCACCAGTCACCCTGTAGATGTAAAAAATGTCTTCAGAGCATATAGAGGTGTTTTTACAGTTGTATATGAAATTATATATCCTTATTAAATTCCAAATTTAAATATACTATATAATGCATATTACACAGCCTAGTAAATATATACATATATATATATGAATTCTTTTTGTATATTGTTAAACAAAAATGTTAATAGTCCACACAATTTGTGATGTTGAATTTAGTGCTTATCTTCTAACTTAATGCCAATTTTTAATTCATGAACCAAATTTGCTGATATCATATTAGAAGTACTATAAATGAAAACTACATACTGATTATTTAATTTAATGAAGATTCTCATTAATATTTCTCCTCATTGTCAGAATGCCGTGTTTATTTCCCAACAGTCTCTCTAACAACAATATTGATGAAATTAATGTTCACATGTCCCTAGGAACTGTTGTCAGCTGGTCAACAGTATAATGCTATTTCTGGTCCAACTGTCGTCGTCTAAACACAACACCAAACAGATCATTGAGATACCCAAGGTATTTATTGTTTTACTTTTGTATGTGTGAGTGTAGATGTGTTTGTCAAGGTGAGAGGCCTTAATTGTCAAGTTATATTAGAATTAATTAATTTGTTTTGTTCTATTGAAACAAAGAGTACAGTCATAGATTCTAATTATACAAGTACATATAATGTTATTGCTGACATTAATCGGTTAAAATAAGAGTATTTGTTTGTCATATTAAAATAACTTGTTCTAACAAATATAATATTATAACAGCATTTGGATATAAACACGATACATATAAGGTTTTATTTTTTTATTTTTAGTCAGTTTGTTTGTTCTTTCTAATCTCCGAAACTGCTGAACCGATTCTGACGACATTCTCACTGAAAGATAGCTCATACAATAATGACAGACATAGACTGTTTATACCTTATAATTTCTTTATATTCTATAAAAATTAATACATGAACAAATAACTAGTATAATAGGCCATAACTATCAGTAAGAAATTTCTGTGTATATTTTCAGTTGCTTCAACTATGTGATGGTTTACTAGCGGCTGGAGCTCAAGACGAATGTGTTAGTGGCCTGGCGCCTGTAGCGGCAAGAGTGTTCAGTAACATGGCTGGTAATAATTCATTATAATACTACATGATTTATACTATTAGGTACTTCAGTAGAAACTCGATTAACTGGACTAATTGTTGTCGATAGGCATTCGGATAATCGAAAATCCGGATAACCGAATGTATGAAGAAAAGCCGGTTTTGTGCATGTGTAGTACATCATATTATATGTTTATTTAAAAAAATAACAAATACATATCAACGAAAATCAATGTTTATTAATAAAAAATGAAAGGATACATTTTCTTTTTTTCAATAGCGAATTCGACTTGTAAGTTGTAGTTATTTCAAGTAATTGGTCAGTAGTCCGGATAATCGCGAATCCGTATAACTTAGGGCCGGATAATCGAGTTTCTACTGTATATCAATATTGTGGTAGAGCCTAGCCGTGGTCAAATTACTGCAGCTCGAACATGGGTTGGCTCGATCGGGGAAGTACCATCCTCTCACAGAAGATCGGTACAAAGTAGTCTTTAATGGCTGCGTTTAGTCCGATGAGTGAAAGAGACGGTTGCCCATTCTCATTCCTACCTTTTCCTCTCCTATAATTAAGGAAGGCAGAGCATCTGCAACATCCCTTATGTTGTAGATATATATGAGCGATGGTGTTTACCTTCTATCAAGTAGACCGTCTGACACTGAATGTATCATTAAAACGATGAAGATGATTAGCAAAATTTAGGAACATTTTTAATCCATAACTCTCTACGAGTTTTGATCTACTTTTATATTTCATCTAAATAAATTCCTGTACGAATTTCCGATCATTTATATTTGATATAAAAAAAACATCAGTTAACACAAAATTAATTGTTAAAGTGTCAGAAATATCATATCTCGAATGTTTCGGGTTCGTGTCTATGTAGATAAATAAAAACATTTTACTATTTTATCTCTTTATTTAACTTGAATTGTTATAAATTTAAATACTTACATTTTAATATACTTTCTTTTTACAGGAGTGAGTGTACTGGGTCGAGCTCAACAACAAGAACTCCAAGCGACTAAGGAGGTCTTATTCTATATGTTACAAAAAACTATGCATCTACCTCAGGTATGTTAGAATTAGTTGCTATTATAAGGCTATTGCCTTTAGAATGAGATTTCATTATACAAATAAATACAGAAAGTTTACATTTTAGTAATATGTTTACCTTACAACGAACTTTATTAACATTACTTGCAAGTCACAATTGTTAGCCCGCATGCGTTCGAGCAACAGGCAGGCCTCTTGCTCTGTGTTTTCTTACCCCCCCCTTTCCCCAGGAGCGTTAAACGTTTAACGCAACCTTGTTGGAAGTTTCACAAGAAGTTTTGTTTCAAAAATGTTGTCACTGTAACAGGAAAGTTTAAAATTAAAACCAATTTTAACGTTACTTTTATGAGTGTATTTTTTAATTATAATATTATAAATCACATTTTGTATAAATCAAGTTGTTTTTTGTTTTATAATCTGTTGTAATTATTATTCCAGGTCCTGAGTCTAGTATCAACTGTTCTATCTCTTTCCCAAGAACATCCGGAGAGCTACTATCGCTGGTCGGAACTAGCCAGTGACTCATTGCTCAATTTGCTGAGTGAGCGTACAGTCGGCGACTCATTTTGCTCAGTCGAATCTATAGAAATGCTATTGGAATGTGTCTACAGAGATGTGTTGCTAGAACAGTCGAGGGTTGAGATTGTATTGAAGATATTGTTCAAATGTCCACCAGATAGGGTAAGTTATATCTTAAAAATATATATAAATGAAATAAAATGTTCTACTTCTATATACCTACATAAGTTTTTTTGCTAGTCTTACTATTTGATTATTGCTTTTTATTACATGCATATTAATATACTAACTTTTGCCGCGGCTTCGTCCGCGTGGAATAGTGACTTCCGGCAGATTTTTGGTTCTTCCCACATAGTTCCCGTTCTTGCAGGGTTTTCGGAATGGTCGAGTTCCCGTAGAATTTTCAGGATAAAACCTATGTTTTTTTTTATTAATAATGAAGTACTCTTAACCAACAACATATTTATTTGTTTATTTGAATAAAGATTAATATTATTATGTTGATACAACTTAAACAAATTATTTCGACAAAATTAGGTACCATAAAAACGGTTTTTGTGAGTTAATCTTAAAAGATAGACATATACTGTCGCGGACTGTTTTTTAGATCATTAAAAGAGCTATTATTCTTTAAAACATATTTTTTGTGTATCTTGAACCGTTTTCACGGCGCACGCAACGGAAGGCTTCAAAGATGAAATAATTTCTCCCGTTTTTTACACATTTACCACTATATCTTTGCTCCTATTGGTCGTAGCTTGATGTTATATAGCCCACAGCCTTCCTCGATAACGGGACTATCCAACACAAAAAGAATTATTCAATTCGAACCAGTAGTTTCGGATATTAGCGCTTTCAAACAAACAAACAAACAAACTCTTCAGCTTTATAATAAATATTAGTATAGATATATCTGTAGTTTTTCCAACTATTTTTCCGAATTACCACTAAAACGTGTAATTTTTTTTTATCGATTTTGATAGAAATGTTTAAAGAGTAGTTAATTTTATTTTTATTACTAAATTTCCGTTTAAAAAATAACAATAGAAAAATATTCCCAAAAATAACTAGTGTCAAAATAAGATTACAAATATGCTGTATAATTCTAACTATCTGTCACAATTAATGATACATTATTTTCAGGAAACATCACCAAAGAATCTGAAGCTCAGATATCTATCTATAATAATGATATTATTACGGAAAGTCCTCATACTGATACCGGAAACGGAAATACTATTGTCAATAAACTATCTAAAATCAACATGCATTTCACCTCAGTCTATATTCTTCAACGTTAAACAGAACGTGGATCCATTGAATGTTCAGAATGTTAACGAAAATTGCGCGAATCTCTCACCAGATGTCATATTAGTTAGGTTTTTGTTCAAAACATTGACTTATGCTATAATGGAAATGGACGGCTTCCAAGCTAATTCAGACTCTATTACACATAGAGATAAGGATGAAAATTCGTTGTTGTATTCTGTATGCGTGAATATTATAGTTCAAGCAAAAAATATGCTACATCTTACGAGTGAGTTAAACTTATATTATTTATTATCCATAATAGTTTATATATACATAGCCTTATGTAATGATATTATTTTATATGTCTGCATATATTTTATATATATGTGTGTGTGTGTGTGTTTCAGCCGGCTGTATGTTCCCTCTAACAGCAAAAACAGCTCAAACAATCCTCCACAACGAACAGAGCGGCCTCAACACCGGCTTGTACAGTCCTGAAGAAAATATACCATTAGATGCGTTAAATGTTATATGTATGAAGCTGGCTCACTCACTACCACTGTTGGCTGTACACTGGTCGCATCTGTTGATACGGTAAGCTATTGGCAAATAATGTATAGAGTTTCAACTTCTAGAAGATTTTATCTCTTTTAGTATATTTGTGTATTACAAACTATTAATTAATACTAAAATTTCAATTAGTAAATTGAAATTTCAGTGACAATGTCATCTTGTTTAGATTAGAGTTTTATTATCTTATTGATACAGAAATTTATACTCTGATTCTTATATTTATGGAATGTTCAAAGGTCTATGTTAAAATACTTAGATGAAATAAAACCCTTTTTAAAGCCTTTTTTAAAACTATGATACGACTATTCACACAGATTAACAATATATTGCGCGTTAAAATAGATTATACAATTTACTTATATTCAACAGTTTAAAAGTCGAAACGTCTGTATATACAATGTCTATATGTCCAATTGTCTTTTTATCTAAATATTCTAATGTACATATACCTATATATCTAAATGATCAATTGTCTGTAAATCCAAATTTTTCAATTCCAGCCTCAACTTCCTGTCCCACAAGTACTGGCACAAGTTGATCGGCTCCACCCTCATGACACACAGCCCTCACGGATGTGACTCGACTTTGATGAAGGTTGACTTGCTACAGACGGCCTGCGTTATGGCTTATTGTGAATATTTTGTGAGTATAGAAACTATATATACATATACCAAGTGATAATGTGGGTATTATTAATAACTAGCTTTCCACCCGCAGCTTCGCCCCGTGGAGTTCGGTTGTATCGCGTTTCCAAGAGAACCTTTCAAAAGTCTGGGATAAAAACTATCCTTTGTTCTTTCTCAAGGTCAACTATGTACCAAATTTCATTAAAATCAGTTCAGTGGTTTAAGCGTGAAAGCGTAACAGACAGACAGACAGAGTTATTTTCGCATTTATAATATTAGTAGGGATGTCTAACCTTATCAAGTAGAGTGATTTTAACTAAATAACCTCACCTAATTAGTGTAATGATAAAATTAATTGTAATTAAATATGTTTATTATCCTGACTAAAAGTGAATGGATGTTATGTATAATGTCCAGTCAATTCGATTAATTGAATAAGTGTTATAAAATTATACTCTCAATCGGTATTTTTGTCTTAATGACCAGGCAGTATAAAAAATGACCAGTTTATCAATTTGTTCATAACATATATATTATAATAACTTAACTTTACACGTCACTTTTTAATAAGAAGCTATGGATTCACCGATAGTTCGAGAAAATTACATGTTACTTCGTTTATATGTAAACATATAATTTATAAACAAATAAGTACATAAAGGTAACAAGTGCTGTTATCAATAATACAATTATAAACTGTTCATATTTGACCATAATTAATATATAAATTTGAATACATTCATAGAGGAACCTTCGTTGATTCATATTTTATATATACATGTGTGTGTCAAAGACATAGTCGATAGTAGTGTGTAATGTTGCTAACACACTTAACATAAAAATAGCTTTTGCTCACTTGTTCTTCATAAAAAATATAACTGCGTCAAATTCTACACCATCTGTTTTACGAGTTTAAATATATCTTAGACCTTACGTTTCCTTGGGAAATCAACATCCCCAACACCATCATTTTGCAATCAAGGTCAACAACTATTACGATCACACTAACGAACTTAATAAAAATACAGGCACTGTTGACGCTCCTTTCCCTACAACGCGTAAATCTATTGAATGATGAGAATTGTCTCTTATATGAACAAAAAATAACTAACAATTATTTACCCCCAACAGCTAGATAATGGTTTCAACGAGGCCGTTCATCTTTCCTGGCTGTTAGTGAACAGAATACATATCCTTATATCACAGTACAAGGAGCGCGTCGTTCACTCTCTTATACAGCGTGTTCAGGTAACGCCCGGAGCTTCAGGGTTGTTGCTGCAAGCTGTGGCCGCTAGGTGCCAAGGATGTCTTAAGGTATTGATAACTATTATATAATGAGTACTAAGATTTTCAAAAATATTCATTGAAATAAAACTAATATTAATTGGATTCAATCTCGTCTTGGTGATCACGGTTTCTACAGTTTCTAAGTTTAAAGTAACCCAAACATCGGGAGTATGTTGGTGAAAATAATTTTGAAAACAGTAAATCCGAAAAATTTTAGTTTTATTTCAACTGTCGTATAAATTGCTTAGGTAAAACAGATGTGTTAGTATTGTGCAAGATATATACTAGTCTTTTCTCAAGGCTTCGTCCGTCTGGATTTTGGAATCGGTCTTAGAGAGAAAATAATATAGAGTATTAAAAAAAAACGATATAATTAAGACATTTATATTTAGTGTATATCACGTGACCTGATACAGATAAATTTTATCCTTTATCTTATTCGTATGTTTAAACTACATTACTGTAAAGTTTCAATAAAACACGTCTCCAAGTTTTTGCTCGAAAGAACAAGAAATATTCTTTATAATAAAAAGAAAATAACATTTGTGACGTAAACACACACACATTCTCGTTTATACACATACATATATGTTCGTGAATGTGTATGTGTGTGTATTTTATCACTAATTGTGTATGTGTTTTCAGGACGAATTCGCATTAAACACGTACAAAATACTATCATTATCGCACGAGAGTCAATCCGGTGCGTTAGTGTTCTTGATATGTCGCATCATTGGAAAATTGGAGCCTTCCATAGGTACAAGGTGTGTTTATATAAAACAAATAAATCATATATAATTTACTGGTTATATTTTATATTATATTTACGTATAATAATTATTATATTATCTATAGGTTCGCAAAGCTAGCTATAGATAGATGTAAGGCCTTGAAGGATATGCCCTCTGACGTCATCAACGCGCAACTATCAAAGGAGGATGTACAAGTTGCTTTGGAGCTGTTACAAAGAGACAAAGTACACATACGGTGAGAAACATTATGACATAATATGTATTTAATAAAAATTGTTTATTCCATAACTATACATTGTATTTTTAACCTTAAATTAATGACATGAAGGTACTAAATATACACTAATGATAAAGCTCTATTAATGACATTTTGCAATTTATAACCGGCAGGAAAAGTAACATTCATTATAATTTAATTACTCCTGTTTTGATGATGGTTAATAAAAAAATTATCTGATAAAATATTTTATTATAAATTATACATAAGATTTAATAATGTTTGTAATGCATATGTATGTATGTATATATTTTTATGTATTTTTCAGTTATCCAAAGCTAGTGATGTCTTTGAACTCGCTGGCTTCATCAGCGTTGGATCTGTCACCGCTGGACTTGTCGCAGGAACGTGATATAAACCCTCATTACATACATACAACTACACCTGACGATGCTTGGCTTATCAACCAAATAAAGGGCAGGTTAGTAAAATTATATACAAAATTTAAGCTTTGATATTGTGTAAGAAAGTAGGCAGTTTTTTATATAAACTATATTCATATTTATAGACTTGTCAAAACGTTTGTCTGTCTTATAATATTTGTCAGGACTCTAAAAAGATATTTTTTTTCTGCTATATTAGATTCAAGTTGAAGACAGTGTGAGATTTTAATTCAAAATGAATATGGGAGTAATATTTAATATATTTTTTATTTAAATTTCTGCTCTTACCACATATAATTATAAAATGTTTATATACAGTCAAATACAAAAACTTTCCTCATTGTTTTTAGATATACATACAATAAATATATTTTAAAGTTTTCGTACTGTATAATAACATTTACTTTTAAATCTATTTTTATATATTCCATTAATATAATTCAGGCCTTCTTACAAATTAAAGTGAGGTATATAATTTGTATAATTTTTTATTTCTCTTCAGATGTTGTCTATCAGATTGCAAAATTCCTAAAGTACCAAAATACAAAGATCTCGCAAACCTATTGAAGAATTTATCATTAGAAGATTTGACGACTGTGATGTCTTGTTCGGAATTCGATAGGAAGATATTGAGTATGTGTTTCAAGATATCATGCGAAGATTTTACAAGAGAATTCTTGAACGCCATATCGGCGCAGGAGTTGAGAGAGATGGAGATAGAATCTTTGAAAGAGGAGAAAGAGAATAGATTTAAAGAAGAAATGTCGTCGTCTATAGATAGCAATAAACTCAATGTAGTTAACACGAACGTGTTCAAAAAAAACGATAATAAGGAATCAAAATCACAATTCTTCATACCGATAGCTGATGATGTCAGTGAGAAATTTGGTAATCTAGAAATATGTGACGAAGAAATGGAAATTGTTGTACCCGATATGCCCAAGTTATATCAAGCGTCACTCGCGACGTTGGATAAATCATTAGCGGATATATTAAAGTTGTTCCCAAAACAAAACCGTCCATTGAGCCAATCGGAAAACTTTAACCTAAATATAGACCACACTTTAGATAGGTATACAAGGAGATGCCATTTAGTCTTCCAAGATAAATTATTCTATCAAGAGTTCATGACAATACAATCAGCTATGACTGGTTTTCTAAATTCCGTTGACGGGATTCTGACCCTTATCGACGAAACTGATTGCGATTTACTAGAAAAATGCATAGAGAATATAATACCAAACAATTTTGCACGCAACATGGCAATGTTTTCGATAGTATCGCTACAGTATTTGTCATTTTTGATAAAAAATAAGAAAGTTGTCGAAACACCAGTTAATACTGACGTCTCATTTCGTACGCCGGTCGTTAATACTGAAAATGTTTGCGTGGACTACGTCATACTAGTGACTATTGATAATGTATCCAGAGCCTTATGTATCGATGAAGTGTGGACAAAGCTTAACGCTGATAATTACATGAACAAAACACAGTCAGCTATAAGTTGTTTGTACGCGGTCGTTAAGTATTTAGTCAAGGTAATTATATTGTTTAATATAAATAGGTAAAAAATTTATATTGATGGTATCTCTATGAGAATTTACTATTTAGTAATATCTCAGCTTTAGAACATTTCGCCCACCAATCCTTGTTAAGGATGAGAAGTGGGTTAAATTTATTCATTAACATTTAAAATAGCACCCAAATAGTATCAATGCAAATTTGACTATTGTTGTGCAATAAAAACATACTTTCTTTTCAGGACACTAAACCCCTTATATTAAAGTCTCACATTCCATACAAAGATTCAGGTCCCAAACCCGATATAATAATAACAGGTAATAAATTGGCGACGCTCATAGAATATTGGGAGGATAATTTCTATATGAGAACAAACAAACATATATTCGGTGCAAGATATAAGAAACCAATTGAAAGTTTATTAATCAGTTTGTCGAGGTGAATATGAATATATATATGTACTTCTCTTTGAATGTAAAATATATGAGACGCTTTTATTGCTTATAATTTTCTGAACTATGTTCCAGTATTACTTAATATATGAATTTTTAACAATAGTATAAAAAATAGATCTAATTTCAAGCCTTAGTGGTATTCTATTTCAATATGTCTTTTGTAATATGTACTTACTTTAATTCTACTTATTAGATATAAATATAATTCTTATATAATTTCTATTTTTCAGATTAGAAATAGTAACTAATATAGCGCTGATACCGCCAATAGCTTGGTCCTATGTTGAAGTTAAAATGAAAAATGATAATTTGGAGAAAATTGACATACCACTACATCCGCTACAAGATATGGATGTACTAGAAGCGTTTATATTCAGGTACCTCTTATATATTGGTATATTTACATAAGTGTTTTTTCTATATTTTTGCTATTGCGACCCCTTGGTCGAAAATTTTTGGCGACCCCCTTGTGCCATAGACAGGCAAGGAAATCATTAAATTAAAAGGGTAAAGTTATGGTTAAGGACATTCTCTGCAATGATGGACATCAAAACAAAAAAGAAGAATATACTTCAATTGCAAGCTGATTTGTTACTTAATATTTAAAAAATACCACCACGATTTGACATGCTTTTGAAAAATAAACAAGCCCAGCCTTCTCATTAAGATTTGGTTTTTATTATAGTGTAGAACTTCAACTTTTTCTTTTTGCTCGCGACCTCTACCCCCAATCAAGTCTTAGTGACCCCCCTAGGGGTCGTGACCCACAGATGACAAACTCTGGTATATTTAAACCGAAGTATACGTAATTAAATATTTAAACTATCTATTAATTCAAATATTGTTATGTATTAGTTATGCTTGCTCGGTATTGTTAAATAATATGATGTCAAGTGTGATGTAAGTAGGTCACTTTATTATATTAGTTTCTGTCATTCAGTTTGCTACTTACACAATACATACATGACGAATTAAATATAATTTTATTGAATACTACACATATTAACAAAATTATTATAATAAATCATATGACTTTATTATTACATAGTTACACAATTTTTTTTCAATAATTTAATAAATTTATACAATACATCTTTTTTATTAATTTACTTTTTACATATTAATAGTATTTAATTTTAAACCATTTTCTTTTCCAGGGTGAATTTAATCGGTTGGTCAACGAAGAAGCAATTCGAAGAAATCTGGGTCGGTTTATTAGGAGCGTTACAAGGGAACGGTACACACTGGGCTATAAATGGTATAACACAACTACTATTGACAACGGCCCCGTCTGTTAGAGGACGAATGATACACGTGCCGAGGAAATACGTTAAGATTAATGAAGGGTATGAAATCATTTTATATAGAATGACTATGGGTATGATAGACACATGATCCCTACTAATATTATAAATGCGAAAGTAACTATGTCTGTCTGTCTGTTACGCCTTCACGCCTAAACCACTGAACTGATTTTAATGAAATTTGGTACAGAGATAGAGTTGACCTTGAGAAAGAACATAGGATAGTTTTTATCCCAGACTTTTGAAAGGTTCTCTTGGAAACGCGATATAACCGAACTCCACGCGGGTGAAGCTGCGGGCGGAAAGCTAGATGTTAATAACTTGTATGAAAATATAGTTAACAAAAATATTAATAAATTACTATGCTTATGATATGTCTTATACTCAATAATTTTTATGTGTACATCCATCCTGAATAGAAACCAAATAATAATAATATATGGGAATTGATATATTATTCATTTAATAGAAATAAATAAAAAAATTGCAGCTATTAATTGATTTATCATAAAGAAATTAGGATTTAATAAGGAAATTAGGATAAATAAAAACATTATAACATTTTTACGTAGTTATCGTATTGGCGTAGTTATGTAACTATCTCATAGTAATGTGTTATGTAAACTTTTTATCGTTACAGAATGCAACGTCTAAGGAACATATTGGTTGGGACATCAATATATGACATCTTTAAGGACGTGAACTTAGAACGTGTTCCTCTCATTAAGGACGGCTTCGATGGCTATCACCAGGGACAGTTCAGTACTGAATATTTGAAGTATGCTTCAGGTTGGTCCAACGAGACAAGATAAAATTTGTAAATAACATCAGATGATTTTTACTATAATTTATCATTTGTATCCTTATAAATTTTAATAAGTTTTTCTTATTATGTGTATATTTTTAGGTATATGTTTATTTACTTCATTTAATCAGTAAATATTTCTTTGTGTATCAGTAAATATTTCTTATAGATATATCAAACGAAGCGTCATACAAAGTACGTAAAGCTGTGAAACGTAAGAGAAAAAATAAAGATATTGATGTGAACAGTTGTATACAACTACTGATGGATGTTACTACAGACATGTTGGATCCTAAGGTATACTCACAAACAATTACTTACTAGAAATATATATGATCTCTGATTAAATGTTATCAATAAACAAATAGTAACAAAATGATCTTATTAGTTACTAACATATGGAATATGGATGTTTGAAATATACAGTGATTAAATTCTATTTATCAAGTTACAGTAACTATACATTAATGGCCTAAGCGGGATAGATACAATCTGTAAATAATATAGTCCTACAACATTGTTTAATTATTGTTATGCACTTCGTAAATAGACCAATTCCTAAAGTAGTATATGTAGTAGGTAGTATATGAAAATATTTAACTTACTGACTATATATCCCTAGTAATATTATAAATGCGAGAGTAACTCTGTCTGTCTGTTACGCTTTCAGGACTAAACCACTGAATTGATTTTAATGAAATTCGGTCCAGACATAGAGTTGAACTTGATAAAGTACATAGGATAGTTTTTATCCCGGATTTTTGAAAGGTTCTCTTGGAAACGCGATATAACCGAACTCCACGCGGGCGAAGCTAGTAATACTATAAATATGGTTTTGTTATATTGATTTTTTTAATGATCATATATTTATATATTTATAGTCATCAACGGGCGTGGCGGGTCGTCTATATGTGATCAAGTCCTTGGAGCATACATGGTGTGTAGTATCTTCATCATCCCAATGGTCTCGTTCGGCCGCGCTACTGTCCCGTGCTCCGCGGGCCGCAGCCGCCGCAGCTTTACTACACGCCCTCGCCGGCTGCCTCGCTGTACTGCAAGGAGATGTACAGGTATACTATATAGTGTTACTAATAATTATTTATAATGATTTAAATATTTGTCTACTTCACAATTCTAAGTTTCACTTTATTTATATTCTAATATTTATTGGGAACTCTTATAACAGTCAACTAGCGCCATCTACGTATTTGTTATAATAGTGTAAATTAATGCTAATAATATATCTGTACTGTATTAAAAATCCAAATACTTAACAATTGGTTTTATAATTTGAGCCTTAGCACGTTTTACACAATGTTAAGTGTTTTATTATTTAATGGAAATTCTTATGAGGGGAACTAGCACCTAATATTATAAACCATCCTCACCTAAATATTACTATTGAATATTATAAATACGATACAAGTGTTAGACTGGGGATTCGGTTACAAGTTGTGGAGTAGTTAGCATCTAAGTGGAAATGAAACTTATAATAGGAAATTATAAGTTTACGTTTCCTCACTATGTTTTCCTTCACCGTTCGTCAGTGGTGTTTAAATACTCTTAGAAAATACATATGACTCGGAAAAATCACATTATAAAATGACGCTATCTTCGTATCCATATATATACGTTTAGAATATGTATTTCATTTTATATTCCGCTTTATAAGGGTTTAACTTATATATGTAACTGATATAATGCTAACGAAACGATGTATGTATGTTTTATAGTCTTTAACGCAAAAACTATTGAATTAATACACAGGAATGAGAGCATTATAGTTGAATTTTGTATGAAGTCACGTGACTCGTTATAGAGGACGCTGGCTATCCATTTAACATAGAGCCCAATTGAAAAATCAACGCATACGAAAACGAAAACTTGTTGCTATTTCTTATATAACATTTACTTGTTTTAATTCATCAAAGGCACGTGACGAAGGTGTCTCTAAATCAGTCTTTATAATTGTCACCTCAAACCAAATCTACTGGGTCGGATACGTTGGATAAAGTGTAAATTATCTCGTGGTATTTGAATAAAGTAGAATTCCATATATATTTATATATATATATATATATATATATATATATATATCATAAAAGTCTTATATATCTTTATCTATGTTCATCTCCAGGAAGTATCCAGTGTCCACGAGAAGCTTCTCAAGTCGTTATCGTCAGGTTCGGCAGCTGTCCGCCAGGCGGCGCTGAGGGGCTGGCTGCTGCAGCTGGCGGGGAGGGGCGCGGGGGACGCGGCGCGGGCGCTCAGGGACACTGTGAGGAGTGGGGGGGATGACAGGTGATATATATATATATATATTTCCGGTATGTAAAGTAGCCTGTGTGTTATTCCTGGACGTCAGCTTTTTGTATACAAAATGTTATCAAAATCGGTCCAGCCGTTTGAGCGTGAAGAAGTAACAAACATACACGCACACGAACTTTCACAATTATAATATTAGTGGGATATATGTGTGCGTCGATTTTGGATTAGTTTAATAATAAACTTAATAGGGAATTCGGTAGATTATTTAATAGCGGCCAGTGTTGAATAGGGTAGTGATTGTCACTGAATGTGAGGACGGCCATTATGCTATGGACAGCCGTCAAACGAAGTGCACAAACCTAACCTATTGGCTCATAATCTATATTCATCTTATTTTTTAAATATAATAGTAAAGAAATCGAATATTTAGATATTGGACAATACAAGTGTGCTTTTATTTATGAGTTCCAATCATTACAACGCCCATGAAAAGTTAAGTCGACCTATTTTCGTTAAGGGCGTGTAGTTTACATCATTTCACGAATATTCATGAGATTCCCAGATCACGGGCAGTATTACTTGAAGTGGTTGGATCTTATTTAAATCTTTTCAATATAATAAGTTTTTGTTCTTTGTCATTAATTACACGTGGTTTTTCCAAAGTCTGTAAGTCGTTTTCAAACAGAGATAATTTCGCGAAGTCTTGGATAAAAAAAGATTTATTTTTTTATAAAAAACAATTGAATTCATATATCTCGAAAACGGTTAGATTTAGGACAAGGTTTCTCGTAGTGTAATCTGACAGAAAATATGTAAACTAAACGTCCTTAACTAGAATAGGTCGACTTAACCAGTAACGTTTTATATATGAACGATATTTTTCTGACATAATTAATACGAATAAATGATTTTTGTTGTCTCAAATTGTTAGTTGTCTTTACAGAATCTTTAGAGAAGATTCAATAGTTCACCCTATCTAATAAAAATAGTACAATAATTTATCTTACATCTATCAGATATGAATCCCTACTAATATTATAAATGCGAAAGTAACACTGTCTGCCTGTCTGTTACGCTTTCACGCCTAAACCACTGAACTGGTTTTAATGAAATTTGGTACAGACATAGAGTTGACATTGAGAAAAAACATAGGATAGTTTTTATCCCAGACTTTTGAAAGGTTCTCTTGGAAACGCGATATAACCAAAATCCACGCGGGCGAAGCTGCGGGCGGAAAGCTAGTATCAAATAAATTATAATATTCTCTAATATATGTATAATAATGATAAACATTCTTCTTTATTCTATTCTTTTTAATCCAGCGACACCCCTATATCTTAAAGAGCGTTTCACTCTCCTTAGGGAGTCTCATGAGCGTGCTCTTCGCTCGAGTGAAAATTTAATTCTCTCCATTCCTTCCCATTCTTCTTCTTACTATTCTAAGTCCTTCACTGTAGAAGCTTCTCGACTTTGGAATACTTTACCCTTAGCTGTAAGGCGGGCACAGTCTTTAGCCATTTTTAAAAAAATGGTTAAGGACTTTTACTTTTCTCAACAGTTTTAAGCAGTCAGTTGTTATTGCTAATATCTTGTCTACTTAATATCTCCTATTTTATTATATGGATTCTATGTATATATTTATGTATGTATGTATTTAATATAGTATATATGTATATTTGTGTTATATATATATTTATTGTTATTTGTATTTAATTTGTATTTACCCTTCCACATTATTATCCTCTACCCAAAGGTTGCCTGGAAGAAATCGCTGTTTAGCGATAAGGCCGCCTGTTGCACAACATACATTAGTAATATATGTATAACGATAATGTATTTTTTAGTTTTAGTATGTTGTACAATAAAGTATAAATAAATAAATAAATAAACATTATTACAGGTTGTCACCACACGAACAGAGTTTGAACTGGGCAGTACTGTTCACACTAGTGGAGTTGGGTCACAGTGATCTTATGCATACAGCCGTTGACTTTGTATTGAATAAACCTAGACATTATTGTACGGATCTTGTTGTTAAGGTAATGTAAGATAAACACAATATTTTTTTTATATAATTTGTTAATATGGGAGTATAAGTTATATATTTTATATTTAAAATAATTTTCTATATTACATATAAATTATTATAAGACTTTATTTCTTTCATGTATATGTATATGATATGCAAGTTTTATTATATAGTCATTGATAATAATACAAATTAGTACAATTTTAATCTTTTCAAATTAATAATATACCTCTATTAGCCAGATAGCTCTAAGATTTTTTGCCATGATGCAATAAACCATAAAAATGTATACATACATGTATCTTAAGTAAGAAACCTTTTTATCTTCCAGGGTATAACATCTGTTCTGCGACAACAAGTTCTGTCAAAGGATCTCAAGAAGTCTATCATAGAAAAGCTATTGGACAATATGAAGATGTACTCGGAGCATCATGCCGTTCAGATACTTATGGTGCATTTGTTCTCTGGTAAATATTATCCTACTTATATATACTAGTTTTTTCCCGCGGCTTCGTCCGCGTGAATATATCACAGTAAAATGTAAAAGGTGTGCTAAAACAAAGATATAATTGTGTCAACTACATTTATAGTCTTTTTTGTATGAAATATTGAAGGGATTCTGATGCAACTTATCAATAATGCAACTGAAACATAAAAATAACATAAATAGTTAGTGACATATTAATTGTATTACAATGAAAAAAATATTCTTACTTCTATTGAAAAGACTTAAGAATACTTCAAAATCAAACTATGTACTATTTATGGACTCGTTTATTTGTTAACCTTTTTCTTGCAACTCATCTCTCCATACTATATATATATCCTTTAAAGTTTTCAGCAATAAAATTTATATATACAAAAATATTTCTAATGCAATATGTATTAATTTCAGCGGACAGTAAGCTAATAAGTCCAAGATTCGAATCAGACGTGTCCAATATGGACCCAGACGTACTAATGAACTCTATGGAACGAATAACACTACTCTACAAAGTATTGAAACAGTGTAAATATAGGGAAAACAAACAAATCTGTACGACAACTCTGAAATATTTCCTGCGAGAAACTCTACCGCCCGCCGCGACTCTAAGTAGAGTTGTCATAGAGTATATAGAGTGTTGCAAGGAAACGGAAAAGTTGAATATGACAATATTGAACGAATTCAACAATTATGTAGAATGTGCTGTTATGAATGCTGATATTGTGTTCGAGGTAAATATAAAATATTTATATTAAATCGAAATTATATTTAGTGGAGTATAAGAATTATTATTTCTATGTTTTTTCAAGGTTTAGTTAAACAAATATTTTCATTACTTTTTAATGAGATCTAAGACGCGTGGTATAATCCGAATATATTAGTATCATTCATTAGTGTTTGTTTTATAAGTATACTAGCTTTCCGCCCGCAGCTTCGCCCGCGTGGAATTCGGTTATATCGCGTTTCCAAGAGAACCTTTCAAAAGAATGGGATAAAAACTATCCTATGTTCTTTCTCAAGGTCAACTCTATGTCTGTATCAAATTTCATTAAAATCAGTTCAGTGGTTTAGGCGTGAATGCGTAACAGACAGACAGATAGAGTTACTTTCGCATTTATAATATTAGCAGGGATATATATAAGAATTAGTTTTAACTGTAATATTTTTTGGTTAATATGTATGTATGTATGTTATAATTTAGTTCATATATACATATATTAATTATTATATATCATTCCAGGTATTCAAAACATCCATATCTCAAGATCAATTGCCAGTACTAAGCGGTTGGATATTTGAAGCTCTCTGTCATTTATTATCAGGGAAGATATCACATAAACTAGTCCCATACTGTTTGCTAACATTACTAGTTGCCGCTTCACCCAATACAAACATAAGAATACTACATCCATTAACATATTATATATTTAGACAAGGATTACATAATAACTCCATATCCATAAAGAATATGGAAGAAATCGATAAAAATGATGAGTTAACCCCAAATAGGACTGATTTGGATCAAAATTGGGGTATTTTTGGAGATTTTATAACAAATTTGCCAATGTCTTTCTCTAATAGACGTCTTCTATGTATAGCGGCGTTGCATTCAAATTTTAGTTCGAATCAGTTGGAGAGATTGAAGCAATTGTGTGAAGGAAACGAATATTTGTGTGATCTAATGAGATGTTTAACGGAATGAGTTGAGGAAAATCATGTTTATATTGAGTTAAATCATAATTATTAGTGAAAATAATGATAATTTCGACTTAGTGATCCCAAATGGTTGTATATAAATTTGACTGCAAAGAAAATTATTTATATATTATTATTAATTCCATTATTATTGAGATTATTAACAAATATTGTTCTTGGTGAAATCAAAATTAATTGACATGTATGTTTGTGGGTATCACATATATATGATATCCACATTTTTTTTCAATTCAATATTTTTTCAGTTTAAACAACAGTGCAATATGACGTTATATAATGTATATTTATTATTATCATATATATAATTTAGTTATATTAGCAAGAATCATGCACTGTAAGGTTTTTTTTTGTAATAAATATTGTTATTTTGCATCTTTTTTTTTCATTTCATTTTCCATAATAAGTTTTTTAGTTAATTTCAGCACTGTATTGCTATAATTTTTTTTTTCATTTTATTTTCATTGACCATAACAACACCTTTTTATTTAGATTTCAATACTGTGTTGCTATAAATTTGTTTTTGGAAACATTTAAAACTGCTGCTTTTTATTAACTTTTGCTTCATTCGCCTTGATATAACGGAATGTTTTGCCAATGTTACAGTAAGTGTTTTTTAAATTGATTTTCGAGGAACTTACTTTTGACATTATACATTGATTTTCAAGGAAATTACTTTTGACATAAAACGTTGATATTGGCAGAATATTACACGATTCCAGTGCTAATGAAGCCGTAGCGTAAAAAAATGATCGTATATTTGATATGTCAAAGTCAATAATATTATACTTTTATAAACAATACAAAAATAACAAAAACAAAACAATTAATTTCTCTCATAATTAATATTTAATTTATAAAACTCCAATAGAAAATTTCAGATGGAAAATGAAAAATAAATAACAAAATAGTAGTACAAAAAGTAATTTCGAGGCCTTCATTAGATTGCTTGATAGTTTTAGAGTTAGACGAATCTCTTTAGACATAAGTAACACACATAAATAAAAAAATGCTTTAATTGTACTGTTATAGATATATTATTTATATTAAAATTGTACTTAAGGAATTAGCAGCATACAAAAATTAACATAAAATATAAATATTTATTTTATTTATGTTTTATAATTTGTAAAACTGAAATAATCTTGACTTGTAAATGATAGTAATTTAATCATATTATTATTTTATATTAATTCTTTATTTGTTATTGAGGTATTACTTTTCTATAAAAAGTATATATATCTAGAAATTACCTGTTCTCATACAACCTCTGTCATTTTAACTATATTATGTTCTACAAAAAAGTCTTGCCATTCTATTATCTTACCATTTAAAGGTTATGTGTAATTATTGTTCTATATTTTTCCCCTTAAACAATGAAAGCCTATTTCAAGGAATACATGTTATGAACCAATGCACAAAGAATTTCATGGCCATATAATATTTTACATTTAAGATATGAATTTTAAATCCTAATTCTATTCTCATATACTTCTCACTTGTTTTTATTATGTTTGCTTAAGAAAAAAAATTACTAAGAATTATTTATTAAGAATAAAGCTTATGCAATAAAATATTTGTTTTATTTGTAAAAATATTAATAGTGATTTCTATAAACTTTTTTTTTTGTTTTAAATCATTGGTTTTTATTTAAGGTTATAGCGGGTTTTTAAAACTATATTTTAAATCGATTCTGGTAAAAAACAGAATCAAACAGTTTGATATAGTTTTGTGAAACACCTATGAAAGAGAAATTATCGCATCGAAGGCATTCACTTCTGAACATTATTCGATAGGGGTATTTAAAGAAAGAGAAAAGTAAGTAGTGAAATTCATTGATATCAATAGACTAATTTTAATATAAATTTTCCAATAAGAACAGGAAAAACTAAATAAATAAATTTTTATGGCCGACGTATGTTGAAATTACTAACCAATACCAAGGTATATTTAAGAGCATTTTATTTAACACCAAGTAAGCGCCCGACGTTAATGCAACATGTAATAGGGGGATTGAAAAAATTTAGTGATATAGCAAGTTTCACAATACAAAAAATCTTTGTATACTGTCGTGCTACATGCTACTATGTTTATACTTCCAATGCTCAGTAGCCATCATTTCACATCTTTAATCTGGGTAGATGATGGCAAATAAAAATAACATGCTGTATTTAACACTAAATTAACGACTTTATTGCCAGAAAGCGATCTCTTTTAGACCACCAACATATAAGACGTGTTAAATGTGTGCGAAATGATGGTCGTAGGTTAACTACTAACTAATAATACCTACATAAATCGATGTAGTAAAGATGTAACGACCTATTAATAATATAGAGCAAATCTTTCACCTAAAACTAGAAATAATATAAGCATTTATACATAATTACAAAGTTTAATATAACTAACATCTTAACACAAGTTGAGATAGTGACTGTCTCATATTCTGAAATATCTTTAGTGCATTTCCAATTTCAATCTTTAAAGAAAGTTAATTTGAAAGGCGAATAGTAGTGACAGTAAATGAATTTGTATGAGAGAGAGAGTAAGAAGGAAATGTAAAAAAACTTTTTTTTTGATCGAAAAGACATTTTTTTTCTTTTATGTTTAAAGTTTAATATTTGTTAGTATTCCTACATAAAGGGATAGGAAGGCACTTCAATTGAACCCAAAAATATTATATATGGTCCATTGGTCATATTTCTAAAGGTCTTATAAAAAATATAAACCTCTATAAAGTTAATAAAAAACTCGATCTAGTTTCATTAATTGTCTTTTTTACAATCCAGATAATAAACTGTCTACGTAAGCTAAAATAGGGAAAGAAAAGATTAAATTACGACAATTTTTATAGAAATTGGAAGATAGCATAATAATGTAACCGTTTTAAGGAATCAATATACGCATACATATTTCTTCCTGCTGAACTCATTTAGAAGAGGACCTCGACAAAAATTTGATTAAAGCTGATAAAAGTTTTCAGTTTTTTGCAAAACTGAATATCCTATCAATAATACAGAAGGAAGTATTATTTCAGACACACATGATATAGTTTAGGGATACCAAGACGAATACTGTGTTGTTAGGATTGATTTCAAGGCCAAAACAATTACTCCATTGAGAAACATATCAAGTCTTATTTGATAAAACCAATAGTATTAGAAAGATCAATGAGATTTGATTTCAATTATATCTATACGTCATCAGCATATAGGTGGTAAGAAGATGATAGAAGTGATTCGACAGCAGCAATATTGATAATACTGAAAAGAATACATTAAAATAAAGAGAATATATAAAATAAGGTGCTAAGTAAATATACATCATTAAGTAAATTTACTTTTAATCGAAATATAAAGACCAATTCTACAACTAATTTACGATTTAGGCACACTACAAACAACTGTGTACTTTCCATATCGGTATCTCAAAGACCTTATCTGAATTATGATTCAACGATATATTGTTCAGACATTAAGTATGATATCATTTGATAACATTTTAATCGTTATTATTGATAATTGTTGGAGAATGTGAAATTATCAATCAGTCATACAAAATGGCGGTCACCCGTCGTGGTTATATTTATGGAGCGTTTGTTTCTGGTGTTGTGTGTGTTATATTAATAATAGTTTCAATTGCTAGTGATGCGTGGGTTTGTATTTATATATATGTTAAGATATATCTATGTATAGACTTAATTTATTTTATCTTATTTTCTTAAAAAAAAAATAAAGGAAAAAACAAATACAATAGATACAGGGTGACTGGTGAATTACTATCAATATTTAAGGACGTGGTAGTTGACGATCATATATGACAAAATAAAAATTAATATAAAATAAATATTAATAAACTTCTGAGTAAAGTTAAACTAAAGTTATGTAATTAATTACGCATCGTGTGAACACCCTACAGATTAGGTATACACTGACACTCACACATACGCGTGTCGTGACGTAGTGTTGTATCAGCACGCCCCCGCACGCGTCCACACTTGAACACTTGGAACGTGTCAACACTTTATTTATTTATACGGAAATTTGGTCAAAAATTAAGTGCCTATTTTTTTTTACATAATTCGAATGAGAATCATGTACCGAGTATGCTCCTTAAATATTGATAGTAATTCACCAGTCACCCTGTATATTACAGATTACGAATAAATTGAAACTTTAACTTCGAATTATGATTTTGATGAATTGGTAGATGAATGAATAAATATTAAGATTAGCAGTGAAAAGAAAATACTTTGTTTCATTGATTTATTATTATCTTCATAGAAGAATGCACATATCTTAGTTCTCCCGGGGATTTCTTTTTACAAACGGAAGCAAACGTTTACAAGTAAATATGGAAATAATAATACGTATCGTATATTTGTTCTCAAACAGGGTGGACCGTGAAATAACAACATAGAATTTTTATTACTTACATTAAAATAATGAATTTTATCTTTACATCTGTAAATGTATTGCTGAAATACATTCAGATTATTAACAGTTTTTATTCATAATTCTTTGCACATTATTGCACTATTAACGTAGGTTATTGTATGAGAAACGGGAAACGCCGTGTAAATAGTGTGAGTTGTGACGATGCAAATTTGTATTAAGCACACTGATGTCCCTCGTTAGAAAAATATTTTATGGATATATATCAGAATATGCATTAATAATAATTACTATTGAAAAAACGATGAAGGACAACATCGTGAGGAATCCTGGACTTATAATTTCAAATTATATATTTGAAATCGCCAATCCGTTTGAGCAAGCGTGGTGATTAATGCTCTAACTTTCTACATGTGAGAAGAGCTCTTGCTCAGCACTGGCCTCCGATAAGCCGATGCTGAATTGTTTGTACTTTAAGTGATGAACAATAATAACAGTAATAATCAAATCATTTACAAGTAATTATTTAAAACCTGCATTATTAAGACGTGTTATAAGCACATATCTGAATCCTATCAAACAAAATTTACAAAAACAATAATAATATTGCTATTGAAAATGTCCAGAATGAAACATAGAACTGAAAATATAAATGGATCTATTGTTTCAGCACTGATAGCTTTGTGCTACAAAAACTGTAACAATCCCAATGTGTCACATAAACTGGTTTGTAATTTGAAACCTTCCATTATCCGCTGGCAGTTTTTTTTATTTGGTTTATAACTGTCGAGACGTGACTGGAATGTTACAAGGGTAGAAAAGTTTTATTAAAAAATATAGTATGTTTGCTACTAAATAGCCTTTTATAAATATTTTTATCAAATTATCTTTTTATTATTAAACATTATGGTTTTAAGAAGTCCTTGTATTTTGATGATTTAATTTTTGTGTTTTGAAATGATCTAAATGAAATTATGTTCACCGTGGATATCAGATTATTATTATAAATCGAATATCTTATTTATGTATATTTATTACAACATATAAAAGGTTAAACGAAAACTTTAAGGATCTTAATGTTTTTCGGTTTAACTGTTTTTTTGTTTACGGTTTTTTTTTTTTTGTAAATGTACAATATAAGTTTTGCAAATGCACAATGGTTTTTTAGGACTGGACGCAAATGTTTAAGATGAAATATAAAAATATTCCTATTAATAAGAAAGTTTTACACCAAATAAAGTTATAGAATATTTATTGAAATTGTAAAATTTTTAATATTAAGTAATGTTTATGTAATGTTTGGTGAACAAACTTCCTTTTAGATTCAAGTCAGTAATAATTATTTCCGTCTTTCTATTTAGATTGTGTTTTCGATAATACTTTTTTTAATTTTTATTTATCGATAGTAATATACGTTTTTATATATAACTAAGCTATAAAACATTCGAAATAAGGTCCACGAATTCATGTTCAAAATGTCGTGTTCAATATTTTTATATAATATTTTTTTACTACCTCAGCAGTATCAAAGTTCTTATTGTCTAGTCGTGAACTTGTTCATTCACAAAACCATCTTTACTTAGTTCAGTATAATATTGACACTTGACATTGGCGAAATCTGTAAGGAAATGCCACTAACTAAAAGAACTCTCTCTCCCTCACTGTCTTTTAAATTCGCGATATTAAATGGTATTCACTTAAAATTTTACATCACTAAACTAGAAGCAGAAAAACGAAAGTATGGTAGTTACGATTTCGAAAAGAAAATAGAGATAGTTTTTATGAACTAAAACCAGAAATACAATACACTTTGTAATGTTCTTATTTTATTGTAACTTTTAGCTCTTATCAACATAAAATTATTGAAATCTATACTGAAATTTTTTTTCTATATAAAATAATGCTTGTTTTAAAAATTCTAATACCACGTGCATTATAATTTTTGTTAATAATCTAAGTTCAAGATAAAATAATGTTTTGTTTCAGATAGTATCAACTATGTACTCCGATAATTATAGGGACAGTACAGTCACGTATGGTCTCTTTTCCGGAGAATTTGGACTATTTCTCTTAACAACACCATCTTTCAGTGCGCTTTACAGTGAGTATAATCATTATAGAAAGTAACTAATCATTATTATGAGTAACTAAACGAGATATTTAATATTTAGTAACTGTAATTGGGAAAATAGCACCTGAAAGTTTGTTGTAAATGTAAAATATATTGCGATTTCATTTTCATTTTATTGCTTAATGTCACTCTTAAATTGTTGGTCTATTTCAGTACATTTATTTCAAGTTTTCAGACGAACATTTTTCAGTTCCTTATAAAATTCTGCAAAATAGTCTTTAAGATATAAAAATATCAAACCATAGATTTGTTATATAATCTAAACCCTAATAGAACTTAGTAGATTAAAAAAAAACCTAAATGTTATTGAATATACATACATGTAAACTTAAGTAGTATCACCTTTTAAGATTCTAATCACATCTATGGACATGTAAATAACAATCAAAATTGTCATAGAATATGTTGTATTAAATCAGGTACTATACAATTATATTAATCTATACTAATATTATAAAGCTGAAGAGTTTGTTTGTTTGTTTGTTTGTTTGTTTGTTTGAAAGCGCTAATCTCCGAAACTACTGGTTCGAATTGAATAATTCTTTTTGTGTTGGATAGTCCAGTTATCGAGGAAGGCTGTGAGCTATATAACATCACGCTACGACCAATAGGAGCAAAGATATAGTGGTAAATATGTAAAAAACGGGAGAAATTATTTCATCTTTGAAGCCTTCCGTTGCGTGCGCCGTGAAAACGGCTCAAGATACACAAAAAAAAATGTATTAAAGAATAATAGCTCTTTTAATGATCTAAAAAACACTCCGCGACAGTATATGTCTATCTTTTAAGATTAACTCACAAAAACCGTTTTTATGGTACCTAATTTGTTTAAGTTGTATCAAAATAATAATATTAATCTTTATTCATATAAACAAATAAATATGTTGTTGGTTAAGAGTACTTCATTATTAATAAAAAAAACATAGGTTTCATCCTGAAAATTCTACGGGAACTCGACCATTCCGAAAACCCCGCAAGAACGGGAACTATGTGGGAAGAACGAAAAATCTGTCGGAAGTAACTATTCCACGCGGACGAAGCCGCGGCAAAAGCTAGTATATAATATATATGTACTTATATCATGTAGTTACTTTATATGTATTTTATGCGCAGTGACATGCGTTCCTTCTGAGAACGCGTGCGCCGTCAGTTGCAAGACTGTGGCGGAAGCGAGAAAAGAAGAGGTAATTGATAATAATACATAATAAATGAACAAGCTTATGAGGATGTATGTATTTGTTGCTGTTTAACTTGAAAACTACTGAATGTATTTTAATGAAACTTTCCTAATAATATAGATTAAATATCAGATTGATACCATAGGCTATAATTTATTGCGGATTTCTGGTTGTCATGTCATGTATATAGTCAGTGGTGGCCTAGTGGTTTAAGGGTCCGCCTCGCGTTGCCGAGGGCGCGGGTTCAAACCTGGCAAGTACCAATGTGATTTTTCCGAGTGTGAGAGTATTTAGACACCACCAATGTGATTTTTTCGGAGTTCTGAGAGTATTTAGACACCACTGACATACGGTGAAGGAAAACATCGTGAGGAAACCTGGAATTATAGTTTCACAATTTTAAGTTTGAAATCACCAACCCGTCTTGAGCAAGCGTGGTGATTAATGCTCAAACCTTTTCCATGTGAGAAAGAGGTCTTTGCTCAGCAGTGGGCTCTGATAGGCTGATGACGATGTGACGTCACGAACTATATAGACTTTAAATATACCGTTACCCGTTTGGTACCATATCTATTGTTTTAACACACTTTATAGATTTCTCAAAATATAGTGAATAATATCTTTATTATGTTGTAAAGTTTGAAATGTTTATCAAATTTCATTTATTACCCTATAAGCTAAAATATTATATTAAATTACTTTTACTTCGTGATTACTTAATCAATTATTTACTCACTATTTATATACTAACAAACTGAAAATAAAAATAAACTCAGGTCTCCAATGTTTTATTAGATTAGAAATAAAAGAATTTTCATTAATTTGTTTATATTTTTTATACAGGTGAAGGCTTTAGCACAAGGCTACAGACCTAACGACGGCTGTAGCGCAGTGACGATTGTTAATACCACAGATCCACGTACGTTACAATTTACTTTATTTACATAAAATTAATTAAGAAAGTATTAAAAATATATATGAAAATTGTCGACACAAAAAGCATAAATTAAGTAAGAAGAATATTATGTAGATTATGCGTCCCTTTAAATTGGAAATTATTGCAGAAGTATATTGATTATTTTGGTATCCTAAATGCATATTTAGATTTTAATATTGAAACTGAATACTTCGCATGAAAGGGGACTCAAAAGTAATATAACTTCTGTTGATCTCAATATTTAAATGTTATTTGAAAAGTCATTGTACTTCGATGTTACGTCAAAGATTAGAAGTTTTATATCTATTTTTTCTTTTATATGTAGTTAAAAATAAGAATCATTTTTGAAATCATACAAAAAAAGATTCAGAAATATACTAGAAAGTCATAGGTATGTTTTTGTTATAATCGCGACAAAAACATGATGTTAAAACAATTGCACATAAATTTCGTAATTGGCAAAGATCTGATAATTTTGATCACTCTGATTATTACCGATCAGGGAGATGAAGAGAATCTAAGAACAGAAAATGAACTTTATTTACGTATATCTACTCTTACCAAACTTCATTCCGTCATGTAAGAACAATAATAATTAATTAATCACAGAAAAGATAAAATGATACAAGTGCTTGGGTCCTATCTCATATTAACAAACACCATTTCAAATGCAACTATTTATATAATTTTTGAAATGCAACTAATATTTTTTTTGTTCTCTTTGAAGTACTAAATCTATTAAGCTAAAACAAATAATTTGTTCAGATTCGTTATTCTAACCAATTGGATCGGGTAAACCAATATTTTATTAAAAACTATCCAAATTTTTTCAACCGAAAAGAAACTTTTGTAACATGACAGTGTTAGACCGCATTGTACAAGATAAAATAGATATGTGGTGGAGCATCGAATATTCGCACAGTAGATAAAAGTAAAAGATTATAAATAGCGTAGTTGATTTGATTATTATTGATTAAAAATAAAACTTGCAATATTTGTTACAAAAATTTATTAGAAATATGTTTGTAAATCCAATATTTTTAATCTTATTGAGATCTAAGACTCGCTATTCATTTAAATGAAACTAATATTTTCAGATGTACTATGCGATTTTTATTTTTGTTTATAAACTACGTACTCCCGGCGATTAGTAATCACATGTGATAAGATCTCGTCTTCGTGATCACGGTCCCTGCAAAGTAACAGTAAATAAAATAACGCGTACATACCGGAAAATATCAGTTTAATTTATAATTTCTATCTTTCCAGTACCTGATCCTCCTGTTCTACCATTTGGTGTCTACGTTAGTGTACTTCTTTTTCTCTTCATACAACTTGTGCTCGCCGCCATCGCTGCAGCATTAGCGTTGCTTAATGCTTTAAAAAATCCCACAGAACCTATATTTTCTTTACCTGGTAAGTGAAATGTTTATTTTTAGTACATGGAGAACTTAATAAAGATTTTACTTTTACTTAATGTAAGTAATATTTTATAAATTTACCAATTAAGAAAGTAATATTGAAAAAATGTTAAAAAATATATGTCTTAAATTGTGTTTATCAGAAAAAAAAATAATACTTATTACGATAAATTGAGGTAGTAAAATGATGTAATATAAATATTACACAAATATTTTCGAATTACGACTCGCTCATTCATAATTTTACCAACTTATTAACCGTGATCATGGGCAGACGAGAAGAGAATCGGTTGCTGCAAAGTAACCGAAACATCGCGAGTATGTATGTAGTTTTTAGTTTAGTTTTATTCATTAATACTTGAGAAAGGTAGATTAATATAAATATATATTTACTTAATTTCAGGTTGTGTTTGGACAAATGTAGCTGCAGAATGTGTTGGTTTAATAGTTATGTTGACGTTCGGCATATATTGGGCAGCGTCGTCGATTAAGAAACATCTGGCATTCTCTTACGTAGCTTTGGGACCTTTAAGTGTTGATGCCAGTTTAGGATATTCTTATTGGTAAGAAAATTTGTCTAAAATAATAATACTTAGCTTATATTAAGAAACGACTGAGAGACGGTGAAGGAAAACATAGTGAGGAAACATGGACTTACATAATTTCAAATTGTAAGCTTGAAATCGCCAACCGTCTTGAGCAAGCGTGGTGATTAATGCTCAAATCTTCTCCTTATCAGAAGAGGCCTTTGCTCAGCAGTGGGCTCTGAAAGGCTGATGATGATGATGATTAATATTTTATGATGATTATTTTAAAGATACATTAATGTATTAGGTTATAACTTAAAGCTTTTTTTTTATCCTCAGGGTTTTAATAGGAGCAGTTATATGTTCACTATTGAACGTAGCGTTGTTAGAAACAAGAAGAATATTATTGGAAAGGGATCCTCCACCGCCAACAATAAAAGTTGAAAACCATTCAGACGGAACCATATTCTTATATTAAATAAATTGTTATGAAATATATACATATTTATATTTGACTATATATATGTGCAATATAAGTCATTCACATATCAATGTATTATTTATTTAGGTTCTTATAAAAAATGTGTATATAGAGGGATTTTTTTATAGTAAAATTGTTAAAATTATATTATTTATTTGTTAATTTTTGTTTTAAAATACATACCTAAATGGTCATATTGTCTAAAACTAAGAAAGAAAGTACATTTCTTTAACTTTTTACAAATAACTAAGACAAAATACTGTATAATGCTATATATTAAGTTTACTTAATATATATTAAGTTTACATAGAAACATTCATAAGTATACATTGAAATAAAGTGGTAGAGCACGTATAAATAATAATTAATTAGTATTCACTTGATACTTTTTGAAACTCATTAAAAACTTATCAATATTTTTGATACTCACGCAACAAATACTAAATCTAGCATAATAATATAATAAAACTGTATATATTATAATAAAACTGTAATTAGAAGATTAAAATTGAAGAACCTTTAGGTAATTAAATAATGCCTCTGTCCGTATAATCTTTTCATCAGTGTAATGTAATTAAAGCGTCTTCCGCAAGTCCAGATCTTTTTCATTATATTAACATTTTGACTGATAAGCTCTTAATACCGAGACTTAATAAGACTCCAGGGACGATAAGGTTCTTAAAAATGTGTTTCCATTTTTTAACGGAACCGTAAGTAAATCTAAGATTAGATTTTTATAACGAATAAGACATTATTTAAAATATGATTATTAGGGTCTTGGGAGAGTTAAAAGAACAAAGATTTTTCAATAATATAATAATGTATATACATACAAAAGAAGATAACGCATCGGACACGTTTTGTATTCAGCTAAAAAGAAAATTATTTTTGCTATCTTACTTGAAATTAGACAGTTGATAGTGAATTTTATAGCCAGATTTATAAGGAATTAAGTGTACGTAACAATCTGATATATTAAAATAGTTATTTGTGGGTGATATTAAAGAAAATTATATAATAATCTTGAATAACATTTTGAATATTTGGAACATACAAATAAATTGTAACTCATAATATAATCCCATTTTTATACATTACCTTGCCCATTACGAAATATTTAACTTTAAAAGAAAATTATGTCCAAGTAAAATCTAGGTATTTACATTAAGAAACCTATTTCTGACTAATAATAAATGATTTTTAAAACATATTATCTATCAAAATGTAATTTTTTATTAGTATTTTATTACTTCAATAATATAATGATACTGTAATGATATTATTCAATATTATAATGATATTATTTGTAGTTCCAAATTTATATACAAGAAAAAAGAGTGGGAGTATTTGCTTTATTAGTTTATGTGAAATTTGATTAAAAGAACACACACTTTAAAGTGTAATTGAAACTTTTAACGTTTGTTTGTGTTATTTATTTGTTTTCATATTGAACTATTTCAGTGATGGTACACAAATTGTAGTTGCTATTTCCAGTGTGAAACCGACATGATGCAAGTTATAAGCGATGAAAAGAACTAGTTAATTTTTAAAATATTTAATATACCTATAATCTATTGTTCTTTTGGACTATATTTTTCAAAATATATAGAATTCAAAACGGGTAAAGTAACATGTTTACGCGTCTAAGAACGTTGAAAAGACGAACTGAGCTTAAAATATAGAGGGTCTTAAAGATTGACTGATTTTTATAAGATAGTTCAATTTTTTTCCTTGCGATGCCATGCGATGCTATTTCACTATTTTTTGTGAGAAAAGTTGCAAACGAGCAGACGGCCTACTTGATGGACACTTAGATAAATGGACATTTGCAACATTTCTGCCGCGGAGGCCTTGCCACCCTGGATTGTTAAGGAAGAGGGAGGGGTAGGAATAAGGTGATAGCAGGAATAGATGGGAATATTGTAAAGACAACCGTCTCTCTCACTCATCGGACGAAACGCAGCCATTACATACTACTTCACGCCGATCTTCTGTGAGAAAGCGGTAATTTCCAGGTAGAGTCAACATATGACCGAGCTGTAGCTTCTCGACCGCAGCTAGGCTTCTACCATCTTAATTATGAAGTATAATGTGAAATTATGTAGATGCAAGCTGGAATATGCTTCCAAAGAAGGAAGCCTGTTAGACTCATTTTATCCTTGTAACTTTAACACTGTTATAAATATATATAGGATAATATTCTATATAGTTGATAATATAATAAAAGATTTATATATTACGTTTCACACGATTATTTAGTAAATATAAAACACAAACATATTTCTGAATTTAATTCATACAAACTCTAGTCTACGAAGTTGTAAGCAAACTACAAACATTAATTTGTAACTTGCCCCCCATACCGAATCTCGAAAATTAGACCGTTTCCCGACTTGTGTAATTTGCTCCGTCATCAATCATCTCCCGTTCAAAATACCCGGCCCATTTCAATTCCGTGTCGACCCTTATCGTCCTGTATTGAATTTTCCGTTGCCTGTCTAATCTGACGTTTGAGTTTATAAACAGTGATTTTCTAAGTACTTAGCTGTCGGTTCTGACATTGTCTTAACAGTTGAGTTTCACTTGTAATACATACCTTGTATATATTTTGATTTCAAATGAAATTAATATTTTCAGATTACTACATACGCGTATTTTATTATTATTAAAAACTGTGATTCACATTTCGTCTGCCCATGATCACTGTTGTTGAAAAATAACTGAAACGTCAGGAATAAGTAGTTTTAAAATAATTAAATACGCGTAGTAATCCAAAAAAAAAATATTCATTTAAATGAATATTCTCGAAATTCCTAGATCTCACTATATATTTTTATTTCTTTATTATTAAACATACTTTACATTCAATGAATGTTGTAAACACTTCAGCGTCTATTTCCAATCAATTGTTTCTTTGTAAGTAGACCCTTAAATATCAACGATTCGTTTCATTGAGTTAATTAATTTTTATTTTGTTTTATACAAAAAAAATAGATTAAAGAAGTTATGTAGAAGTAACAATATATAAAATAAATTAGATAATTAAGTTGCCTCATAATAATGAACTAAAAACAATTTTTTAAACACTCTATCTGTTTTACGAATTCAGTAAGTATTTCTTAAGCACTGAGATACTTGTGAGGACGAGGAATTGATTTAAAGATAAAAATATATTTTATGATAATTTTTTAAAGAAAACCTTTATTTCATGCGCATAAGGAACTGAATTTAGTTAATAGTATTACTCATATTTAGAGATTTCTATTTGAATTCAGGATTAATTCATAAACACTCATATAGAAGAGTGAGTACCTTCTTTGATGTCACGGAAACTAGATGGTATTCATAATTTAAAGCTGAGTTAGAATTAAATAATATTAAAGGACGAAAAAATATGCAAAAGCAATGATTACAAAATTATGACTTTTTTCTATATCTGGAGTTTTTAAAGTGATAAATACTAAGACTGTCTAGTTGTCGAATCTTGGTCCATAAATATATATTAATTAAATTCTATACAAGAAGAATTCAAGTGTTTTTGTAGAATAGATAGATTTTCAAACCTTGTCTTTTTACAAACATGTTATGTATTGATATGTTCTCAAAGGAGAAGCTCCCATTGTTTTGTAGGAAAATATATATACGAGTGGTTACAATGAGGATCAAAATTCAGACAGTGTTTTGGTAGTAGTTTGTATATAATATAATTGCAGTAAACCATTGTAGGGACCTAACTGCAAACTAGCTGTAGTTTATTAAAGGGGATCAAAGTGTCACTGACATTACAAAGGAGCTTTGTTCGTAGGAAGGCGAGTAAATGTCACTTTTAACAGTTTGCATACATACATACTGCTTAGTTAATTATGTCAAATTAAGCTTGGAGACAGGAGCATTGGATGTACTTTTTGGTGTGAATTTATTTAGTCGAATACAACTTTCAAGAAGCGAATTCTACAGTTATTTAAGGCATTTCTTTATAGACGAGATTATTTACTTGCGTGAAATTTATGTCTTGGAATTAATTTGTATTAATTCACAAATAAATTTAATTCCTTAATCCGTTTAGTTAGCCTTTAGTGATTGTCTTCCAAAATAAACATTTTACTAAAACGAATATGATAAAATTTGTGTACTATTCTAAATTACGGTATTTTTACCGTAGGCTAATATATTTTTTAAACGACTTCAAACTAAGGGGAGATTCTGCTATTTAAGTGAAACTTATATTATTCGGATTACTAGGAATATTTTATTAGTTTTAAAACGACATACTCCTGACATATCGGTTATTTTTCAGCAACCGTGATCACAAGCAGATGAGATGTAAATAATCTGTATTTTTTTTAATATAAATTTATTAGCAATATGTAATAGCAGCTCTGTGTAATGATTAATTTTATATATTTTAATCCATTTCCGTTATTTGAGCGCGCTTCGCTCAAATTTTGTTAAGTAGTTAACAATAAGAATTTGTATTACTTTAGGTCAAAGTATTTGTATTACATAATTTAATAGGAGGATCATTTTTAACAATACTTTTGCATTAAAAAACTACTAAAGGACAATTTTATTTTTGGTTTTTTCTTAGGAGAGCAACTCGGAGCTGAGGTCTATTTAGTTTAATACAAATAATATGTCTTGGGTTATGCTCAATGCTCATTAAATGTATTGAAATATTGAATTTTCTGATTTCATTAAAATCTTTTAGGAAGTTATTATAGTTAGTTTTTATAAATTATCTTACTCCCCCTATTAAATATGAAATATTTTAAATTTTTACGAACATCATCATAAATATGATTTAATTTTATCCAAAATTTCGACGAGTTTGCAGTAACCATGATTACAGGCTTTCATCTCGTCTTTGTCTCTGTATAAAGATTAAATTATCGATGAATTCCTTTACTCTTCATTTAGATCATTTTAGTCTGCATATCATTTTATTTTTGTGTTAGCAATAATCACTTAATAAACATATAAATGTACAAAGTAATAAA